GCAAAACAATGGCACAAATTAAAAAAAGTGTGCTGCGGGTGCAAAGTTGCTTTTTTGCTAATTACCCTACGCCTATAAATTGTTGTTTTTTCACCATTCTCGTTGCCTTTGCCACTTAGCATTACATGACTTTATATTTTATATAGACCCATCTGGAGTAATGCACAAGAGTAAGTTGACCGTCACTCGTGCCTCAAGACTTGATTCTTGAAACTTTTGCGAATCGAGGCAGCATCACGAGTCTCAAGAATCAAGTTTTGAGTTTCAGATCTCAAGTTGAGAAATATTATGAACCTGTTGTGAGAACGCACTCTTTCAAATTAAAAATTACCACTCCATGCATTGGGTGAGACTCGTTCACTTTAGTATAAACAAAGCCTGCGCTTTGAAAGCGAAAATGTTCACATATGGTCTCCTGTTAATAGTCCTTTTGAAACTTTCTTTTAATTTTTAGAAGTGAAGGCACATGTGAGATACATGTAATAGCAGTGAAAATTGAGCTGCCATTTGAAAGCAAACAAAAAGAAAAATACACCTGGTTATAAGCCCCTCTGGGTTGAACAAGCCCCCTTCTACCTTGTACTGAAATAAATTCTACTTTTCTTGATGTTTTACAGCAAAATTCGTTGTATCGTGCTGCGTGTTTTGCAAACTTCAAAGGGATTTTGGGTTTTTCTGTTCCATGAATCATTTTAGTGAAGGCGGGGTTAATGCAAATCACAATGTAACATGCACATCCAGCTTGGCTGACAATGACTCTAGACTGCTCAAGAGAAGCGAAGGAAATCACAATGGTGAGTGGATTTTTTGCCGACGGAAGGAGGCAGACGTTGCTTTATTCTTGCAAGTGAGAAGAATGAGAAAGATCATAAAAATCTGCAAAGCAAACTTAACTAGTCAATAATTGCCCAAAACAGGATGATCACAAAGCAACGAACCTTGAACATGAAACAAACAAAACGGATCGAAATCCACCAATCACGAATCACAAACCATGACGTTTTGAACTCATGCAAGTAAATATGTGTTTACTAAGAGGTCCGCTAAGATGATTGACGGAACAGAAAAACCCAAAATATGCAAAATGCACAGCGCGATAAAACGAATTTCGCTATAAAGCTAAAAAATGAGTAAACTCAAAAAGTATTTTGATCAGCACTGCTAAGCAGATTGTTTTCAAACACTTTTTTCAGTCCATTTCTACAGTAGGCGTTCCTCATTTAACCCCTTTTATATGAACCCAGGGCTTATAAGAAGAAACTTACTGTACTATGACTACTTCTGGAAACTGAAGATGCTGTTTTTAACATTAATTTTCACCTGCTTGATACAGGTCTACCATTCCTATATTTTCACATAAATGACAAAACTTTTTATTTTGCAGGGTAAAGGCAATACCTTCTTTCTCAGTTATTTAAAGACCTTGGGTATGCATTTGGAACCTGTTCTGAAGCCAGCCCTCTACCAATTAAGCCTGCCAACCTGCTATATGACTATTTGATCCATATGAACCCTTTAAGCCCTAATACCATTTAATCATTTTGAACTCTTCCTGTTGCCCCTGAACGTTACAGAAAAGGAGGGGAAAGTTATTAAAATACCACATGAAAAATTTATCTTGTTTGATCATTTCCTTAATCCTTACTCTGCTTTATGAAGCATTAATATAAAAAAGAAAAAAAATTATTTTGTAATGATAAAACTCTAACAGCTTAAAAGGTTACCTATATCTACTAACCTTTCTTAATTTGCCTGTCTACTTTATTTCCTTTACCAAGCACTGCTGTACAACAAAACTAAAAAAGAAAAAGAAACCAACCTTTAACTACAGAACTCTTACAATTTTGCACATCACACAACACAAAGTTTTGTGTACTGTAGATAAAAACTTACAACTTCGCAGGGGCACTTGTATCTGTCCACAAGTGTATCTAACTCAAGTCGTCGTTGTAAATCATTTTCATTCAGTGCTCCATCACAGTCCTGTTTATTGCCAAGTCTATGCAAAAGAAATATTTGGAGGTTGTAGGTTCATAGTCCAAAAATAAGTGTCTGATCCATTTACAAAATAATTTGACAGTGAAATTCCATGTCACATATTAATATTAATATTAATATTTAAATTTCCTCTAGCAATATCCCTTTCTTAAATCTAGAATTCAACAGCAAGTGTGTAATATGAGACAAGATTTAAATTTTGACAGAAACTCATAAGGGGTTGAAACGTGTAACTCTCATATGTTTGCTTTGTCTGATGCTCGTGATTATTCATTTTCAAAAGTACCATATTTGGAACGAGAAGAAGAGATAACTGACCAATCAAACTTCGTAAACAACGTGACATAGTTTTACTTCAGGTTCCCGTGCCCGCTTAAAAAAATGGCTGACAAACAGGGAAAAAAACTCCCGAAAGGCGAGAAAGCTTTGAAAGGTTGAAACCAGGAATCTTACTGAAACACTGAGCAGGATATTGTTGCCTTATGAGTTTCTGATTTTGACTAATAAGAAGCTAAGAATAAATTTAAGTAACAACCTAGCTAAATGCAATATTTCTTGTATTTTAAGTAACTTACATAAGAAGAGGTTTCCCTGCCACTCGAGGCTGCATTTCGGTTTCATGAAGTATTTTCTTACATTCTTCAAGCCTGTCTTCATCACTAGCATCTACAACAAATACTATCCCATATGACTGAAAAAAGGAAAAAATACACAAACAATCAGACCTCAGCTGCATTGTTATTCAAACTGAGGTATTAAAGAGATGTCTGAGGAGAGATTAAACAGAAGACAATGCTGACCTGCATTCTCCTTTATTAATCATATTAGTGGAATTGTCTTAGAGCATTTGCAGGAATTCAGCAATTTTACAGTGCTTTCACTAAGGTCAAATCATTTCACTCATGTTGCCATTCATGTGCTGATGTTAAGTCTTTTCACTGCCAGCCCTTCCCCCACTCTAGATGTGTCTTGGTAAAATCTAAAAAGGGCCACTGGGGTATTTTGTGTGACACTGCCTGATCTTGATCCACCTCTACACTAGAGAAGCTAAGAATTATTTTCATAATTTCTAACCTCTGCATAATAATTTTTCCATATGGCCCTTATTCTCGCTCCACCACCAACATCAAAGAGAGAAACATGAAATCTATGCAGAGAGAAGGAAGAATTCGAAAATCCAATTGTTGGGGTTATTCCATCTGTAGTTTCTGTGAAATAAAAAAAGAAATTAATTATGACAGGGTTTCCATAAAAACCCATGTAATACTTCCATTGTTACCCATCACTTTGCTCAAGCAAATAAAGCATTCCCTGGCAGTCTAGAGGACGGGGGTACATGTAGTCCCTAAAAAAACACTGTTGGGCATGTTTAACGTAATATGGGGAGAATAGGTTACAGGTCGTTAAGTTAAAAATTTGTAGCCTTTATACATCGCGTCTCAATTTAATAATTAAAAACAATTTTACTACTTATTACACGCCAGTTCGCACATGTATATGATCAAATTTCTTTTGTCTTCCAGCCCTTATAATTATAAATTAGGAATTGGAAACAGGGGAAATAATAATATTTTATTGGGAATCAACCTGAAGTTGTTTTAATTTTGAGCGTAACCTCTTCACTGAAAATGCAGTGCCAGTAAGCTCAGGATGCTGCTTAAAGATATTTGATGAAATGGCTTTTGGCCATTAAAATCTCTGTTTCTCCCTTCCTTTATGGTAACATTATTTTAAGAAACCTTTATTGTAACATTATCATTATTGTTATTACTATTATCATAACTATCACAAAATTCTCAAATCTGATTGGTTATCAACTGCTCTGATTTCAGCCTTAATAGGACAGTACGCGTCATGCCTAAGTAACTGGACAGTACACGACATCATGTGCGTGCTTAAATGGCTTTTTTTTCATTGCTAGCAAAAAAATCTTGGAATTTCTTGTGTTTTGATTTTAAAAAGAGCCTTATATATCACAAATTTTGTTAAAGTCATGATTAATTGGTAACAGAATGTTGTGTCGTCCAGTTTGGTCTGTAATCATACTCGTGATTAAACAAATCGGACTCCTGCTATATGGACTCCACTCAGCACTGTTACTAGTACTTATTAGTAAAATCCAACTAGTGGTCTATTATCAATGCTGATTCTGATTGGTTGAGCTACTACTAGGATATATGTTACATAGCCCACTAGCAGTGAAAAGCGCCTGCTTTGAAAACCAAAACAATAGTGGCTGAATTGCGTTTTGCTAGCTAAAGTTGGTTTGTCTCGATATTTTTGACCAACTAGTTGGATTTTACTGAAACAATTATTCCTCTCACCCTCATGGCCTCTGAATCAATAGCCCATTCGGCCTTCAGCCTCATGGGCCATTGACTCAGAGCCCATTTGGGATTGAGTAATAATTTTTAATTTTCATCATCATCACTTGAAGGTTTGTGAACAAATCACTCCAGTTGTAGAAGTCTGCTTGCAAATTTAACACATTCTTGACAACAGCTGCTCAGCTGTGAGGAGTCTGGTAACCCAAGGCACACAAATAAAAGGCAATACTACAGTTACTGAAATACACAACGTTTTCATCCATGTAGTTTATTTACTACTTCTCCCCAAGAACCAAAAGATGACCATATTAAACCACTTTTGTTTTTCCAGTTCCTTGATCAGACAAGAATACAAACATTTGCTTTGGTCTATTAAATTAAGATAGCACCCCGCGATCCGTAACTTAAATATGACCTTAAGCTTATTTTTCAAATTTACCTTAAATCTAATTAAAAGGGACACCATTATTAAGAGGTTACCATCCGTTCTCGGAAGAACGTTTTCGGCGGAAGATGGCTATCGTGCCGGGAATAGTGTATCTCCTTCTAAGATTTATTTGTGTATTTAAGAAGTGTCAGTATTATTCGGTATGAGCTGCCTCATCTACAGAGAAAGCTTAACTTTCTCACCATCAAAAGCAATGTAAGCTTATCAGTAAGAAAAAAAATGTAATTGAAAACGAACCTCCCGTTAAATCGGCAACTGTTGACGTTTTCCCCGCGTTATCCAAACCAACCATCAAAATAGTAACCTTCCTGTAAAATAACATGGGGCAGTAATTTAATATTAAACCTGAGAGAAAAAAGATACGCTTACCCAAATATTTCGACATCATAGTTACTAGTGAGAAAAAAGCACACATTTTAAGCTTATATACAGAAGTGTCAACTTACTTCCATGGCTCCCTTCTTCTCTTCAACCATGAAAAACAGTTTGCCATAAGACCGATCATCACTGACAAAGTGTCAACCTTGAAATGTCACCTGCAAGAAGAGACAAGCAACGCTTGCAATATTCACAAACACTGGCCAATCTCGAGTTCATTTTGTGATTTTGATCACTTTCTAGTTCTTACGAAGAAGTCACGTGATAATTGATTGGAAGTGCTTTGTTTCCTTGACAACGCTTCGGTTGGTGAACTGGGACCAAGTTTGCCTCGCCTAAGTGTTGAAGGCTTGGTGGCTGAGCCGATACAACGTGGTCAAGAAGCGCGCCATTTGCGCTCAAAAAGTCACTCATTTTCTGCCACGGGCTCAGAGTAATACTCTTTGAAAAACCGTTAAGATCGATCCAAGGACAGCTGCTGCGTTAAAGTCATGGGAGATAAAGTTTTAGTCATTGGCGGAGGAGGAAGAGAGCATGCTATTGCATGGAAACTCGCCCAATCAAATCATGTTGGTAAAATATTTGTAGGGCCGGGAAACGCGGGAACCTTTGGACTGAAGTCGAAAATAGAGAATGTTTCTCCATCAAAACTTAATCAAAATGATAACGAAAGCATTGTGAAGTACTGCGTTGATAACAAGGTGGATTTTGTTATAATTGGGCCCGAAGCACCACTAGCCAATGGCCTCGGCGACGCTCTAAGGGACAATAACATTCCATGTTTTGGTCCAAGTCGCGCCGCGGCTAGAATCGAATCTAGCAAACATTTCGCGAAGGGTTTCATGCAAAGACACAACATCCCTACAGCTCGTTGGCAAGCTTTTACGGATCCTGAAGAAGCGTGTAAACATATTGAGTTGGCTGATTATGATGCTTTGGTGGTGAAGGCAAGTGGTCTGGCGGCTGGAAAAGGAGTCGTTGTGGCAAATAGTAAAGAACAAGCTGTCAAAGCTGTCAAGGAGATGCTACAGGTAATTTGATTACCTGTTTTAAAAGTGAGAAGGGAGAGAGAAAAGAGGAGTTGGCACTTGCATGGAACCCAGTGCACTCAGTAGAGCAAAACTGAGTAATAATTCAGTCGAGCCCTATTGGCAAAAATAATTCAATTGAACCGTTGATTCAGATTACCGGTAATCCCTTTGACTGATTTACCCAGTTGATTTCAGCCAGGTTTAATAGTTGTTAATTATAAACGCGATCATAATTAAGCTCTTTGGTAAGACTGATTACTAAACACAATCAAACTTAATCAGTTGATGAATCAGTTTGATTGGTTTGTTTGAGTCTTTTTAAAAAAGGAATTATTATTGATTGTTTGATTACAATGTATTTTTAGTCAGAAATTCTTTCTTTATTATAATTTTTATTTTGACCTTTAATGATACATTAACTCCTCCACTGAACCTCCTTCTACCATTGTAATGATGTCTGGAACTATGGAGCTTTGCCGTGGTGGGCATATCAAAAACGCTCACCTTCATTCATCTTTTTTAGTTTTAACGCGATTCACTTGAAATTTTTAAACAATATAGAACTCACCATTCCAAAAAAATGTGTGTTTTTTGTTTTTCAGATTTTGACATTTTTGGTAGGAAAATGTCTTCTCAAATTCCTCACCAAATTTTGTTCTTAGTATAAAGGGATATCTAATGATGGTTTCTGAAAGAAGTCATCACAAGGATGTCAAAAGTGAAAACATTTTTGAAATATGCCTACTCAAAAGATATAGCGTTTTGAAAGTTCAATTTTCCACCATTTTGTTACTAAAAATAGTACAAAATGGTGTGAAAACGCTATATCTTTTGACTGGATAGGCATATTTAAAAAATGTTTTCACTTTTGACATCCTCATGGTGAGTTCTTTGTACCATATATGTACCATATCATCATCATTATTTTTTACAGGACAAAATTTTTGGGGAGGCTGGTTCAACAATAGTGATAGAGGAAAAGTTAGAAGGAGAGGAGGTTTCTGTAAGTATCCACAATGTTGAATAGTACTGCACACTACAAGATGAGGAACATGTTTTTGTTTTGTTTTGCTTTTTTTGCTGAACTTTCAGACCATTTAGATACAAGGCTGGTATACATGAGACATGGAAAAGGAAGAATTAACTCATTCAATGCCAGAAAAATGGCTTCCTCTATACTGTTTTTCATATTGTTAGTTTAATTTTTATAATTGGGACTGTTTTGTTTTGATAATACCTTTGCCATGTATTTCATGGCTGCATAGTTTGGTAGTTTTATGACAATAAAATTAGCCAATAATTGGCTAACTTATTATAGGATGGGTTTAAACAGATTGGCCAGTCATAGGCGCAGTGTCCAGGTATAATGTTACATGCCTTCTGTAAAAATGACTAACTTTTTGGAAGCCTTTGTTTTCTATAATCATTTCTACGCTGTTGATATGACAATTACGACTCATTATCTGTGCAAGGTGAGATGCAATAACCAGCATATGTATCTGGCTGAAACACCTACTAACAACTCCATACCTGCTACCTAAAAATAAACAAAGTAACGCTATAGAAGCCTGTGGTAATTGTAGTACCAGGAACACCTCTTATGAGTGTCTGCGACTGCCCAGCTGGACAATTACTGAATGCTTTTAAAAATAATTGTTTGAGTGACTTGTAAATTTGTTGCAGGTGCTTTGTTTCACTGATGGTAAAACTGTTGCAGTTATGCCTCCAGCCCAAGATCACAAGCGGTTATTAGACAATGATCAAGGACCAAACACTGGCGGGATGGGTGCATATGCACCGTGCCCTCAGGTGAGTCATGTTCTGCTATGGGTAAATTAGATTTTATACAATTTCCTGCAAAAGTGAATTATTCGTAGATGACAATTTCTTTGGTTGAAATGTCTTTTTTTGTGAAAAACCGCCCTGCAAGATTAGCAACAAGCCTTGATCCAAAAGTTCACTATTTTATTGGATAAATACATTGCTTCATAAATTCTTGATATGGTCAAACCCTGCTTAACAGACACCCATTTAATACAGACAGTTTGCTTTGTCCATGGATTAAACCCTTTCTTACATATTCTCTGAATTAAAACCACTTAATACAGACACCCCATCATTATGGGCACTTTCTATGGCCCCTCATTGTCCTCAAACAGGCTTTGACTGTGTTGATCCTTAATAGGTCTATCAGCCAGTAACATCACTCCTTCACTTACCTGATACTTTATTAGATTTCCATGAAACACAAAGAAGAAATTACCAGAGATGTCCTCCAAAAGGCAGTTGATGGCTTGCGAGAAGAAGGCTGTGCTTTTGTTGGAGTGCTATTTGCAGGAATAATGTTAACAGTCCAAGGACCTAGAGTATTAGAGTTTAATTGCCGCTTTGGTGACCCAGGTGAGGCAACTTTGCTACCTTTTTAAGCATTTTTTAGTTAGTAGATATTTACACATAGGGGGTCTTTATGGGAGAATCTTGACCCAGGTTGCCAGGAACATGTCAATTTTTGTCTTGTTACATTTTTAAGGACAGATGCCACAATAGGCCGTTTGCATTAGTCGATCATGTGATCAACTTTTAGTAAACAGGATAACAGTTCGCTTTTGAAAAATTTTGCTACCACGAACTGAAAGAGCATATTAAAATTAGGCAACCTGTAAATTTTCAGCCCTATATCTCAAAAGTAGTGATTGCAATGGCTGCCAAAAATTAGAGGGATTTGTGTGAGAAAGACAACCCCTGCCACCCAGTCACACTTGAGTGTTTTTCCATACAAACCCTTGTAAATTCTGAAATTTTTAAGCTGTTGTTAAATCTTTCTCTTACTCATTTAAGGACTCAAATTGCCTGTTTTCAATTAAAAGGAGATTTAATCTACATAATGCTTAAGGGAGTTTTTCACGACAGTTTACAAGGATTTGTATGGAAAACCATTAAAAGCGTGACTGGGTGGCACAAAATGTTTTTCCCATACAAGTCCACTTCCGCTTGATGTATCAGGGCTGCCAATAAGGGCTGGTAGCCGGCCAAAACCGCCAGCTTGTTAGCCATCTTTAGCTGGCTACTTTCATCTCCCGCTACCATAACTGCTAACAAAAAATACCAGTAAGCACTACTGAATAAAATTTGCAGACCATCTGTTTCCCAGTTTTGAATGACATTGAACGCATATTTAAACAGGTTTAGATCTGTGAAACATTCGAACCGTGTGATGTTGTGGAACGCCTGGGACATTTCGACGGCACTCTTTCCAGTCTTGCATGTATTCTGACTAAACAACATGGCTTCCGCAGCGGAAAATACCTCTTGAAAACCCAATGGAAATGGCATTTCTGAGACTCTAAATTTCAAAATGTCCCAAGATGCCTCAGCCTTCAAAACCTTGTGCCTTTGGTGTGAGTTCCAAAGCTGCCTACTATTCATTATCAGCCTGCTACTTAAAAACTCTTTGACAGCCCTGCAAGGATGCAAAAAGTCCATGTCTGGTTGATGTATGTGCTCAAAAATGTCTTTGCTTATTATAAGCTCCCTGTTAAATGCATCAATCAACTTTACTTTAGAAACACAAGTAATTCTGCCACTGCTGAGGAGTGATCTATATGCAACGTTAATGGAATGTGTGAATGGTGACCTTAGCTTGTCTCTCCCCTCCTGGCACACAGACAGATTTGCAGTGGGTGTAGTAGCAGCCAGTGGTGGGTATCCAGGTCCTGTTAAGAAAGGCTGTGTTATCCAGGGATTGAATGATTTAACGGTATGTGTCAGTATCTGGAATCAGAACACAAGCTGAACACCCTCCGAAACAAATTCATCTGTCTGCTGCAGACAGATTTTATTGATAGCTAATTAAGTGAAGGCTAAAGCAATCATTGCAATTAGCCCCTTCATCCCTTTGAGAGCTGTAAATTTTCTAATAGGAAAAAATAACGTGTTGAGTCACAAAATTTTCTTAGAATGTTTTTTCAAGTAACTGACATCTTGGCTTGATTGTAAGTAATTGGAACCTTTATCAACAAAGTCTAGTGTAATTTTTCATCAACACAGATTTAACAAATGGATACCATTATAGCTATTTAAAAATTTACTGCCATTAAAAAAATTTTTATGACTGTGAAGATGACTTGCTTTTTTTACCAAAAGGGGCATTTAAGTGAGTTCTTCACATACAGAAATAAAGATGATTTTTTTAGCAAAAGGGTGTATTTTTTAAATTACTTTCTTTGCAAAGGAGGAAGAAAACGTGGTGCTATTTCATGCTGGGACAGCTGTTAAGAAATCTGGCAGTGATGAAGATGTGGTAACATCTGGAGGGAGGGTCATTGCAGTTGTTGGAATGGCTCAGACTATACATGATGCTCAGAAAACAGCTTATCAAAGTATCAAGAAGATTACTTTTGATGGCATGCAGTACAGAACTGACATAGCAGCCAGGGCTTGTAGGTATGCAAAAGTAGGCTGTTAATACTAAACAAGTTTGTAGTTTGAGTGACTACTATAGTACTTCATCAGTGCCTTACTTTTGGTAAAAAGTGAGCCTCTGATGTGTTGTTGGAGGTCTAACATATCTAAGACATGAGAAATTTTAACCTCTGTGTTTAAGGATATCTGTGTAGTTACATTTACATCGAGAAATCCGCCAGCATTTTGCAATGCGACCAATAGTTTTTATCTGAAATGACTTCTGGGTAGTGGCGCATCATGAGTATTTAATTTTTGTGCTTGTTTCACAGACATAATTTTGCAGGGAAACCATTGGTGTGTTTGCAAGATGTCAGCTACTTTCTTAGGCCACGATGTAATTCTTCAATGTAGAGTTTCAAATAAGAATCTTCACTTACTTCGGAGGCAAAAAGTTTTCTCAGCTCTTCTCCACAAAATTTAACTATGGACAAAGTATTGGCTTTAATAACTCAAATTATTATAATGACTTTGCCCGAAAAAGAAGAGATTTTGCATTTGAACTTCCCAAGAACCCAGTTCATAAGCTGATTGGTTTTTAACCCCAACAGGAAAAACGGTCTAACTTATTCAGATGCTGGAGTGGATATAGATGCTGGTAACTTGCTGGTGAATGCTATCAAGCCCTTGGCTTCATCAACTGCTCGTACAGGCTGCACAGCAGACTTGGGAGGGTTTGGAGGATTCTTTGATCTCAAAGCTGCTGGGTTCAAAGACCCCTTACTTGTCACTGGCACAGACGGAGTGGGAACTAAGCTGAAGGTTTTTGACCAGTTATTGTTACCATCCCCTCAGATATAAGACACTGTTATAAAGAATTGTCTTTGTGTATTGGATATAAATTATTGTTGGTTGAAAACTATACTAAAAGAAAACTATACAAAAATAATAAGGTCGTATCATTATTTGAACTTTTTGAGAAACCAGTTATTTCATACATCTTCAGGCATAAATAAGTTCGAGGAACTTTCTGGCTAGTTTAAAGTACTACTACAACGTAAATTTGGTATGTCCTTTACTTTTTGGTTTCTGGAAGACAACGTACTGTTTAGGTACCATGCCAATTTTTAGTTCAAGGCACTATAACAACCTTGACAATAGCAAATGGAGTTTGATGGCCGTTTATCAGATGAGTCAGGAAAAATTTCCACAGCATTTGAGTTTAGTGTGTAAACTACAGATTTGTTGATTGCAGGTTGCTCAGTCTGTTGGCATACACAGCTCAGTAGGAATTGATCTCGTTGCCATGTGTGTGAATGACATCCTTGCCCATGGTGCTGAACCCCTTTACTTCTTAGACTATTTTGCTACAGGCAAACTGGATGTGGGTGTGGCTAAAGAAGTTATTTGTGGTGTTGCTCAAGGCTGTTCTGCTGCTGGATGTGCTCTTTTGGGAGGTAAATAAATTTTGCGTTCAGTTATGACGATTTGGTTAATAGGTTGAAGTCTTGACTCATGCCACAACCTGCATAAATTTCATTCTCCCTAGCGTTGTAGGGAGACAATGTAAGAGAAAAATACAGATGTAACACTACTGAAAAATATTTCTAGATCTGATCACATTAGATTGTGGGACCCTACAGGAACCATGAATGGTGTCACGGCAGAAACAAATCACAGCCAACAATCTTGATGGGCACAATTTTCCCCATTCAGAATATGCGAAATGTGGTTCACCACATAACCTGTAGACAAGGAAAAGTTGTTATTTGTAGTTTATTTTATGTGAGGTGTGATGCATTGTGTTGTTCCACTGCTTTTATCACAGGTGAAACGGCTGAAATGCCAGGAATGTACTCCTCAGGTGAATACGACGTTGCTGGGTTTGCTGTTGGTGCTGTGGAACGTGATAAGGTTTTGCCTAAATCCCAAACCATTACACAAGATGATGTTGTAATTGGCTTAGCCTCTTCTGGTATTCACAGCAATGGTTTCAGTTTAGTGAGGCGAATTATTGATGATTGTGGGCTAAACTACACTTCGCCTAGTCCATTCACCACCACTGAGGGTTTACAGTCTGTTACCAGGCTTGGTGAAGCTCTTCTTACTCCCACAAGGATTTACTGTAGGTCTGTTCTTCCCCTGATGCATAGTGGCAAAATCAAGGCTTTTGCACATATAACAGGTTAGATTTGCTCATGTTAGTTTTTTCTCCTTCTTTAGAATTTTTTCTTGTTTCATTTGTATTATAGAAGCTATATTATATTATTGCTATTATGAGCACATCTGAAATCAAACCTTGGTACGTATTGCACAGCAGGCTGCACACTAACCAACAATGCCAATCCTTGCTTCTTACTGTCATTATTCTGTCAGTCACTCTTAAGTCGACTGTACTGTTGTTGGTATATTACTGTTGGATAGAATGCTCCAAATTGTAAGAGTGTTTTGACACAAGCATTGTAACCTCTAGTAGGTACTTGGTACATGGTATAGTCCAGATGGCATAACCAGGCGCGTTTGAACTTTATGTTTCCCTTTCCTTTTTCCAGGTGGAGGCTTGATTGAAAACATCCCACGAATCCTTCCCCATGGTGTTGGAGTATCAATAGATGCTAGATCATGGACCATGCCTCCTGTGTTTGGCTGGATTTTTGGCCAAGGAAATGTTCCCGGTAAGGAAATGGCGAGGACATTTAACTGTGGTGTTGGCGCAGTTCTTGTTGTTGAAAAAGGAGTTGCTTCGTCTGTTTTGGAGCAATTAAAGGCATCCAATGAACAAGCCTGGGTTATTGGCAGTATTACTCGGTGCGAGGACAACGGCGGAAAAGTGACAATAAGTAATCTTGAAGAAGTGCTCAGTGAGTCTGCGGAGAAGGCTGACATAAAAGTTCAAGACGCAAAAAGAACTGTTAATGGTCCAGTGAAAAGGCCAAAACTAAGCAGTGAGCGAGAAGAAAATAAAAGCCCACAGATGAAAGTGGGTGTTCTCATCTCTGGCTCTGGTACAAATTTGCAAGCCTTGATTGACCAAAGTTTACGGCAGGACAGTAGCGCTAACATTGTGCTAGTGATTTCAAACATACCTGGGGTTCAGGGATTAAAGCGTGCTGAGGCAGCTGGTATACCTACTAAAGTAAGTTTATTCTCGGTATAGGAGTCCTCTGAGTTAACACAGGTGTCTCTGTATCAATTATCAATAGGGACCTTAAGATGCGACGACGGCGACGACAACGGGAACGTCAAAAGAGCAATAGGTTAAGATTAGCTTTTTCACGTGCATCACGCTCTGCCGTCACAGCACGACTACGACCTGAAAATGCCTAATTTCACGTTTTAGGGAGGACGTAAACAAGCCGCTACGAAATTTTCTTTCTCTTTCTGAAATTGGATATGGATTTTAGGAATTCAACTCTAGGAGATTTCGCCTACATTTGACAAAGTGAGTTAGTTGGAACTGTCGCGATGACGATTGAATGAACGGGAATTCACTTTTTAGGCGATGTTTTCGCCGCCGTCTCCGTCCTCTGATCTCAGTAAGGTCCCTACTGACATCACCAGCAGGTTTTCTACTAAGACTGTTAAGTGAGTTTTAGAGGAACTCATTTTTTTAAAGGGCCTTTTTCACCTTTAAAAAGGTCTTCCACTTTGTCATATTAAAATTGTTACTTGACAAGTGAGGAATTAGTAACAGTTAGGTAACTTCGCTGTCAAAGTCAGTGTTACATTTTCCTTAGCCTAAATAATAGGTATGACAGGTGAATGAAGTTACGTGACTTGCAAATAGCCAACTGGTGTTCTTTTGCCAGTTGGGATTTTTATTACTTATTGTTACCTGGGTGGCTCTTCCACTGAGAGGTCATCATCCATGCGTTGTTGCCGGGAAACCTGAAGTAAAATTTCTCTTTTGTTCTGTTCTATGCCATTTTTCTTCCAGGTAATCAAACACAAGGATTTTAAAAGCCGTTTGGATTTTGACATGGCAGTACATGCAGCTCTAGAAGAGGCCGGTGTGGAGCTGGTTTGTTTGGCAGGATTCATGAGAATAGTGACTGGAGAGTTTGTTCGCAAATGGAATGGCCGACTGCTTAATATCCACCCATCTTTGCTGCCTTCGTTCAAAGGAATGCATGCACACAAGATGGTACTGGAGGCTGGAGTTTGTATATCAGGCTGCACCGTTCATTTTGTTGCGGTAAGACGTAGACTGGTCTTGCAAAGATTTTGAAGGCCCGCTTACAAGTCTCTCTTGCGCCTGGAGACCGAAGGACATTTAGTCGGTCAACTGGAGGTTTCTCATTGCCTCTTTTCTTGTATAGTGCGATTTGAGAATTGACTCCTTGTAGGGCTCGATTAATAGTTTCAAAACCGCTGCTAAGAATGTTTTTATTTTTAATGACGATTTGCTATGGAGTCGTATCGCAGCAGTTCTGTTAAATATTGTTTTTGTATTTTATAGGAAGAAGTTGATGCGGGTGCAATAGTGACACAAGAAGCTGTTCCTGTACTGAACGGTGACACTGTGGAGACACTTCAGGAGCGGGTAAAATGTGCAGAACATAGGGCGTACCCTCGAGCAATGGAACTGCTGGCAAGTGGACGAATTAAACTGAATGATGAGAACAAAGTACAGTGGATGTGGTGACAATGACCTAGAAGGAAACATTGACGCTGTAACTCGACGATTCGCCTTAACCACAGAATGCGCCATGGTTAATAAGAAGTTAAATGAAGCAACCAACACAACGTCGCCAAGGAAAAAAAAAATTCACTTTTTAGTGACGATTTCACCGCCGTCGCTGTTGGGGTGCTTAATCTCCAGAACCTCTCCATTGTAGGAAAAAGTTCCAGCTTTAACTTTATCAGTCACAGTGTTAAATAATGTGGAGACACTGCAAAGCACGCGTGTTAACGTAGTCGTGAACGTTTGGTTAGACTCAAAGTGTAAATGAAACGCGTAAAACATCTGTCGCTCTTTCCTTGAAACAACGACAGTACTCTTTGTGGTACATACGAATAGTAGGTACTGTAGTTGTTTTTAAAAAAAAAAACAGTGGTGCCCCTAACAAAGGGAAGGAACTCATAAAAGCTTCCGCGTGCAAGTGCGTATAATTAATTTTTCAGACTAGTCCGTGTGGGCTGACTGTAAGCTATATAAAGAAGGGGGTCACATGTTTATCACAGTCGATAAACTGCCAAAGTTTGTGCCTATATATTATGTACAAGGACTAAGTTATGGCTGTTATCTCCTTTAAACGAATAGGATTTTGTGAAAAGATAAGTTAACCAGACATTTTGTATAACTTGCTCTGCTATAAGAGTGCAGCCCAGACAAGTTATCATGGAAAAAACCCAGTGTAAAGTTCTTTTTTCTTTGCCGGTACAGGCATGGCAAAAGTTAAATAAGTTGCATTCGCAATTGCTGCTCTGATATAAGCTCGTGCATGCATTTACAGAAGATATAAAATATACGCTTCTTTAAAAAGACTGATGAATTGCGGCTCCTTAAATTCCGAGGACCAAAACATGATGAAGCCTAAGGTCATGGATGGCTGCGGGAAGTTTTATGTGTGTCTAGTTTAGGGAACGGTATATCGGAAGTGAAATAAACAGTACTCAGTGAAAGCCCACAGCAGAACCAGTTTCCTTTGTTTATTAGTGATAAAATAATTTTGCTTCGAGTTGAAATGAGTACTGTGGCGAAATAATTCTCTGGCTGCAACTCTGGACAAATGTGTTGAGACAATTCATAGGCATTTTGTAATTTTTGCGCCATATTACCATCTCCTATAAACAGAAAAAGTTAGCCCCCTCCCCACCTCCTATTGAAACTTGTTCCGGTCTAAAACCCAACGCGAATAATTCTTTTCATAATACTAAACATTGTATAAAGGGAGGGGGGAAACAAGCACTCATTTGGCAATGGTTTTAATGTTTGCCAAGATGACAGGAAAAGGGTCATTTTGCCATGTGTCTCAACAGGTTTCGTCCGATGTTGTAGGTCAGTTGAAAGAGCACTGGACTCCTGAAGAGGGTGTTACGGGTAAGGGGCTTTCTTTTTTTACACAACGTGGGATATGGTGAAAAAGAAATCTACCACCAGATCAAGATCTATGTAACCTGACGGGGCTCACCCTCCCCCCCAAAAAATTCACCTTCCTCCCCCACCACACAAACACAAATTTGACGACTCTTCAGGTCATTTAAGGCCCTCCGTTTATCGGTTGACTTCCCCTCTTGATGTTTAGTTGGACAGTTACATTTGGGGACGTACAACGTTTAACTGAGTCCCTTCCCATTAGTTAAATTATACTTGTTTGCTCAGTTCTTGTTAAAAACGAAAACAAAACACCCCGCTCAGAAGGAACTTTTAATAGCATTACGAAGATTCGTCGCTAATCATATTAACAACAATTTTGCCTCTGGCATGCCCACTCTCAAGTTTAACGTAAGCTTCATTTGTCTTGGAGAAAGGAAACTCTTCTTGAATTACAGGTTTTATCTAAGAGAAAAAAAGAGCAGAATATTACTTAGTCTACATTAAATGCAAACCTTGTAAACTCAGCTATTGAATCTGTACCTGGCTCCTCCCCAGTCGACTGTATTTGGATCACGCGCGAACAAGGGAACGCAAGAAGCGTGACCAAAGGGTGCGCGAGGGGGGGTGGGAAGGAGGAAAACGAAAGGGAAAGACGTGTCCTCTCTTTCCTCTTTCCCACCTCCCATTGCGCTCCTATTGACCGTGCTTCGGTTGTTAGTATTAGGAGACTGAGGACCTGTTTACATGGAGGTGGGGGACCCAAAGTAGGTGAGGTAACCCGCTTAGGTGGGGTAAACAAATAACCTTCGTTTACATTCAATATTACAACCTCTCCATCCCGGGGTACACTTTCTCAAGACTATTAAATGGTCGCCAAGTACGTAAACAAGAAACATGCTCGCAAACCACGTGTTTTGGCGATTAATGCTCTTCTACACTCGCTCCCTGCTCTTGCTGCAACCTTTAGTGATGTCCTCTTATATTGTTACCTTTTTAAAATAATGATGCAAAGCCACCGCTAACGTGAATTTTGCGCGAATTTGATGTATGACAAATCCGACCCCGGCTAGGCAGGTTACCCCACCTTGACACGTTTACATGGCAAAATTTGACCCCAGCTGGGAGGGTTACCTAGTCTGGCAGACCGGGCTACCCGCCTTGGCGGGTCACACCACCTATCATGTAAATGTGATCAAATTATAATTAGAGATTATATGGACAGGCGGGTTACCCCACCTAAGGGAGTTACCTCACCTACCTGGGGTCACCTACCTCCATGTAAACAGGCCCTGAGAGACGACTGGTGAGGAGTCAGAATTTGTACGAGTTTGTTAACGAAACGTACGGTCAATAAAATGGTAATATATAGATTTAGCCAAGGCTAAAAGCGAAGCGCTGCTTAATAGTACGTGTACACAAAAAGAAATTAAATCGTGTAATACTAAACGGGGAGGACAATGAAAATGGCTTCAGGACTAATAGATCTAAGTAGCAAAAAAACAAATTTGCACGCGCAGCACGCTTTTTTGTCTTAGCCCTTAACTTCGTTCTGTGGTCTTGCAGAAATAATGAATATACATCACAGTTGCAGGAGTTACTAACTAAGATAAAAGGTATTGTACAACTCGGCCATACTACGTACCTTTCCAGATTGACAAAGAGATCGAATGTAGTCCAATGCTGCGCCATTTGGACTAAAGAAACCCCATGAGACCAAACTACCGCTACAAAAAGCCTACCGGAAAAACAACACAAATACCACTCAGATAAAAACACAAACTAAACTAAATTTGCATTTAGCACCATTCCAAAAACTTCTGTTTTTGTTTGTCCCCCTGTCATCTTCAGTCTCTTACTTCTAGTCCTCCTCTCCTTTCACCTCCTCCACCCCTCATCCTTGCCCCCCCCCCGGCCAAACATCGTTTTACCCATGGTTTTCCTCCTCTTCTTAGCCCTTGCTCTCATCATTGTCTTTCTTTTCTTCTTCCTCCTTGCCCTACATCGACATCGTCCAACTCTAATGCTAGCCCTCCTTGGTGCTCCTTCTTTACACACCACTTTTCCTCCGGTTCTTAGTTCTTGTTCTCCCCGTTGTCTTCTTCCTCTTCTTCCTCTTTGCGCCACCTCGACATCTTCCAACCAGGGTTCGTACTATTTTTTGAAGGACTTTTCAAGGACCCTTTTCCAATTTTTTAAGGACTCCATTCAGTGCGAACAAGAGCCTCGAGTCTATGTCTTTTTAGTTGTTCGACAACATGAAAAATTTTATCCTGAAGGTCTTTCTGTGTTTGCTCCTTTAGGCACTTGAGAATCCGGGTTGGATAAAGTTAGCACCGAAATTCGAGGACTTTCCAGCACCGGTGCGTGCAAAGCGGAACCCTGTCCAACTCCAGGAGCCCATCAGCTCCTGCCAACTCTCATGTTTGTCCTCTTCACCATTTCCTTGCCTCCACCTTCTCCTACTACTCTTCCCTGCTCTGCTACCCTATACAAATACAAAGAACCAACAAGGGCCTGGGAGCACGGTTCTTAGCTAAGAAACCATTCCATTTTGTTTTGTCAACTCAGTGGGGGTAAGGGGGGGGGGGGGGGGGGGGGGGTCTCCCAGACCTGGAAAAAAGCCATATAGGGCGGGGAATTTTTGCTGTTTTTAATTTTGGTTTTTTGGAAATATTTAATATACTATTTATTTTTTAAGACTCCAAAAAAAAAACATTTTGTTATATAATTTTGCCATTTGCTCCCCTCCCCCTCTACCCTCCACCCACCTTCTCCTTCTCCTTTGCCCTTCTCTGTTACCTAATCAAAATAAAAAGACCCAACAGGGGCCTGGGAGCGCGGTTCTTGGCTAAGAACCCTTTCCTTTTTGTTTTTTCAACTCGGGGGGGGTAAGGGGGGGGGGGGCGTCGGCGGTCATCCAGACCTTGAGATAAGCCATATATGGTCAGGAATTTTTGCTGTTTGTAATTTTAGTTATTTGGAAATAGTTAATATACTATTTATTGTATAAGACTCCAAATAAAAAACATGTATGTATATACGTATGCCCAGTCTCCAAAAAAAATTTTTCGGCCCTTTGAGCCTCAGTCTGGTCTAAAAATAAGGGGGGGGGGGGCAGGCCCCCCCCGGGCCCCTCCCCTACTTCCGCCACTGTTGTATAACTAAAGGCAGTGTACCTTTTCAAGAGCAGATGAAGTCAAGTACTGTCCTGCAGATAGAAGCCCTAAACCTGTTCCATATTCATCAGTTTTACTGAGGAGGGGTGGGGCAAGGGTCACATAAATGGCACCTTTCCATTTAGACAGAAAACTTGTGTATTGTTCACCAACGTCTCCTCCAAACGGATCAAGAATTACGTCAAAACTGAAAAGAGATATAAATTGGTATTAATTTATCTTTGCATCAAATTAAGCAGTGACCATCTATTGAGTAACCACTTAACAGTCTCAGTGTGGATGTAAGTGTCCGTATCACTTAACGGCTTTAAGTCCCACTTGTGACCAACATCAATATTCTCCTAACGATATCCATACTATTTCAAGAGATTAGGTTATGAGAATTAATAAAATGATCACCTGAGAGTAAATGCTTTGATTTTTTATCAAAGTCACTCAACTCATTCTTCAAGAAAATGTATAGTGATCAGTTTGAAGAATTTGTGCCACTATATTGGGGCGCAAAAGAGTTAAAACAGAATGTCTTTTAAACAGCTAAAATATATTTTAGTTGGATTGCATTTCCTTCTTTTGTTTGAAGAGCACAAAACTTTCACACCTTTCATGTTCTCGGCCCTTATAGTCTTACATTCAATCCCGGACCCTTTGTTGAGGTCCTTTTAGGGGTGTAGCTATGATCCTAGTCTGAATTCGCATAACCAGTTGTTTCACATACTAAGGAGGCAGCCATGTCCCTGTTGGTATTTACTATTGTATTTTTGATTATAATAATAATAACATTCACTTTTATAGCACCATTTCCATTGCTGTCCAATGGCACTTTACACAACAATTAATTAAAAAATAATGAAGTAAATAACAATGCACCATTTAAAAATTTTAAAATTAAGCTATGCACTACATTTACAATTTTGCTAAAATGAATAAAAATATGAATAAAATCAAACAAAAAGGAAATTTTGTAGGAAATATGTTCCTACAACTAGCGGTAAACATTTAAATTATTAAGACAATTCAGGACCTTATATTCTGGGGTAAATTGTTCCACAGAGCAGGGGTTGTGGATGAGAAGGCTCTTAAATAGACATACTGACGAGACCATTGGTGTTAGAAGATCTAAGGTTCCTACTCGGTACGTACTGCTTAACTAAATTGGAGAGCTAAGCTGGAGCAAGATTATTTAGCACCTTATAGGTTATTACTAATATCTTAACAATAACACATTGTTCAACTAGTAGCCAGTGGAGCCCTTCTAAAATAGGGGTGATGTGTTCTCTGTTGCCTGTTAATGTGACAACCCCTGCTGCTGCATTCAGCAAGTAGACTGGTACACAAGGTAAACAATCAGGACCCAAGACACACCCTTGGGACACACTGCATTGAAGGCTTCGTTGTGACGACTGACAGCCATCGGAAAGATAGGATGCGAACCATTCCAAGGCATGTCTAGTGCTAACAAACCTCTGTGACAATCGTTCTAGTAAGATATTATGGTCTACTGTACCAAATGCTGCAGAGAGGTCCAACATCAGCATGATCTGACATATTAGAGACAGATATAGCTAACTTATGTACCAGATTATCCTCAGATCTAGTGATAACCAGATCTAACATGTGACTCTGCTTGTGTGTCGGGTCCTTTAAAAACTGTGTATAATCAAATGCATTGATCAAGGAGGTGAAGAAATTTTTTGCCATTAACATCACTTTGAACATCAATATGGAAACTGAAGTCACCAGAGATATTACGTATCTTTCTTCTGTTGACTGCCAACTCCTCAAGAAAACTTGTAAACTCATCAAGGAACAGCTGAGTGGTTGTGCGATTCCTGTCTAAAGGAGGAGGTTGATTTATTGGATGAGTTTAGTACCGTGTTCACATGTTCAAATGTCCTACAGTGATCACAGGGTTTCACTTTCAGCTGCAGACTCTATTTGAACAGAATACCATACACCTCCACCCTGACCATCTCTAGCAAAGTGCTTGAAAGAGTACCCCCTTAGATATTAACTCATTTATGGGAATTAGATTATCAGTTTCTAGTGGATTTAACCAACTGTAAGTGCCATAATACTAATTTTGTTTTCAACAACAAAACCATTTAAGATTTTTGCCTAGTTCTTGATAGACCTTACATTCAAAAGCAAAAATCAACTGCTTTGGACGTTTTAAATGAGGGAACAAGGAGTACGAAGTATGGTAAGTAGATTGTGATGAGTTGTCTGTTGTTGTCCAACCGTGAAATGATTAACATGCTTTCTTGTAGACATGTGTACGGGTATGCAATGAATTTTACCTCCTTTAATTCCATGATTGTTATTAGTAGGTACAGTTGGATTTGTAGGTTGCATAATACCATTGATAGATCAAGCAATGGTAATTTCATGCCATCCTGGATTGCGTTCAACGTCTCCAGAGAGGAGCAGAAGGTTCCTACTTGCAGTCGAAGAAATATGTAGCTTTGTGAAAATTAGACTTCTTGAACCGAAGGCATTTTACCACTTGACAGATTTCTATTGTACCAAGAGCATTGCTGTTCTTCAGACAGAATGATCCAAACAATATTATATCGGGTGCAGAGTATCAAACTTATCACATATCACTCTTCCATATGCAAGTTCCAAAAAAGTTCACTTTCACATTGCAATTGCCATGGATAAAATAAATTTGGTCTTCTTTAAAATGGTTGATACTGAACCATTCATGAAATGAACTTGAATTAGCAGCAGTCCTACAAGTAGCAATTACGAAATGGTTGAGCCTAATTGTGGAACCAAACCAAAAGTCTGTCAAGCAAAAACTTGGCAATCAAAGAGACCGAGAGGTTTTTGACCGCCATCATCGACACATGTGCATAATCCTTGTTGCTAAAGCAGTTTTAATCCATCTTTATTTCATTTGCTGCCCTCTCATATGTCGTTGTTTCAAGGCCATTTAGCATTTTGAAATTTTACCCTAACAGGGCATCTGCTTAAAAAAAATAAAGTTGATTTATTTAATGGACATAACTGGTACAATAATGAGTCATACCCTCCTAATGATTCTAGTTGTTCCTTCATGTCAGGTGCACTATAATCTATCACATGGTCTGCTCCAAGTCCAGTCACTAGTTCTACTGCATCTGTTGCACATGTAGTGGTGACAAAAGCTCCCCAGGCCTTCAAAAGCTAAACAAATGCACTAACATTACAATTGCTTGAAAGTCTTACAACAATGTCAAAACCTTACCAAGAGAATGCATGTCAAAACCCCTGGCAAGATAAGCACTGGAAGTTCAAATTCAGCTGAGTCTCTGTTGACAGACAGTTGGCAAGCAAAATATATTCTGATAAAAAAAGTTCTAAGTTCTAAGCAATTCCACAAAATACGGACTGATCCATCAGGAATTTTGTCTTGCATTTTTATCTCTTTTTTTCTCTTCATGAAAAGCCAACATACCTGGATAGCAAAATTTCCAATCCCACCAGATCCACCCAGAACAAGGACACTATGAGAAAACAAACAATACTGATATTTTGAATGTTTCACAAAATTATCCATAGTTTTCAAGCCCTTGTATTTTGTTGTGAAAAGTTGTAAAATTTGTTTCTTCCTGTACAATCACCCAAGCTGGCCAGGGATTTCCCTTGGCTACTTTCACTGGAAACAAAAGGAAAATAAAAACAAGACAGCTTCCTGTCAAACTCAAATTGGAAATTTTAAAGGAAGAGTAGGGTCTCTGAACCCAAAAGGTCTTTAATATTATAATTGCAAGTCATAGTGATTAACTGATTATTTCTCCGGTGCCTAAACACACAACAGGAAGGCAGCAAAAAAGGCTTTCTCAGCTTTGGATTTAACAAATTCGGTTTCATATCTAAATATTTGCATACTTACTGTTTATCATGAGAGTTTTCAGGTTTAAGACCTGCCCTGCTAGCAAGAGCTGTCCAAACAGTACAAGCCACATATGGAAGAGATGCTGCTTCACTGTGTGTCCAATTGAATGGCTTTATAGACATCTACCGTGCAGGTGCATACAAACACAGACAAAGAAACAAAAAAATAAAAATTGTTTAGCAAATTAATCTTTTGATAAAAGTCTAAAAAAGGAGCCATATGAAAGAAATGATAACACTAGATAACTTCGTGATATGGACAGTACCTATATATATGTAGGCCTGCAGCCATACCACCTAGGCAGTGGAAACCATGGACAACTTTTTTGCCCTCAAACCTGTTGCATTAAGAAATCTGATTCTTTCTCTATATGCTTGCTGAGAGCCATTTTACAGGTCACAGCTAACAGCTAACACATGTGGTGTAGAACTGGGCCTTAAATGAGTGGTTTTGCTTCCCCTTGGCAGTAAACAGTGGGTTGCAAGACCCTTTCCTCTGGAACTATACACTGCTAATCTGAAAAGTCAGGACTAACAAGAACAAAACAGCTGTCGATGTCAGTGGCCAATGCCACAGTAATATGGCTGTCTACATGGGTAAGGTACTAGCAATTAGACAGAGTTTGATAGTGTATGCTACCAGCTGAATTTTGGTTTCTTCTGCAAAAAGTACAGGTACACTGTCTGCCGTTTGTCTCCATAAAAAGTAAAAGTTAGGTTCTGAGGGCATGCATGAGAAAACCTGTTGTTTGATATGGGAACTCATCAATACTTAATCAAACTAATAAAGGCATTACCTCATCTTGACTTGCAACTAAAAACTGTCCATGTGTTCCTCCAGCAATAACACTAGGCGTACCCCAGACCTACATTCAGCCAAACCAGCAGAAAAATATTATGAAAGACAGGAACAAGCGAAGACAATTACAACATTCTACTTCCTCATCCTTTAACCCCCAACTTCTCCTCTCCAACTTAACCCTTGCAAAAAAAAACTAATTTCAAAAACTTAAATATTTGTAAAATTTAGTCATAACCGTAATGGGCCATTTCTGATTTGTTAAAAGCCCTCAATTTAAATCAAGGCCAAGTAGTTGTGGGAAATAGGTCTCTTGCCTGGGAGTTGTGTTGGGGATGATGCAGCCATAGGGGAAACTGGTCGTTTTGCCGACTTGTCCATTTGACTACACTGAGGTCGATTCGCCTACGTGATCTATTAAAGTTGTTTCAGCGACACTAAGGTTATACGAGTAATAGTATTGTATAAATAGGAGTAAAGCTTACTGATGACTCTTGCATGTTAAAACTTCTAAAACATTACCTCGGTGACCTTCTTCATAGTACACTTAGAGTTCAAATAGGTTGTAAATAATCAGTAAAACATAATAGACAGAGATGCTGTTCTGGAAATATTTTTTCAAAAAACCAAAAGTTTATTGTAATCCTTAAAAACAATTTGTGCCACAATTTGCATGACACTAACTTGATCGTGGATCTGTTCACACAAGTTAATCGGCTAAGCACATGGCAAAACAAGTCACAAAATCCATCTCAAATCCAGTGGCATTTTGTAATTTTCTCTTTAAATGATTATAAATTGTATAAAATGTCTATAAAGCGATTAAGATCATGTAGGCGAATCGACCTCAGTGTGGATGAAACAACCGACATTTAGGATAGGAACAAGAAATACCAAAGACATAAGGTATGAAAAGAACCCCACTGTAGCAATAATTGTGGAAAAACCCTTCCTTGGTTCCTCCGCGGTTTCTCCAACTTTTGTCATGGACCAGTTAGCAAAAATCTAACAACATTGCTGGAAGTACTGACAGACGTTTACACAAATGTCTGTCAAAATTTTCACCTTTGCCGAGCTACATAATCATGTTTTCCATTGCTTCTGACTTATCATTCTCAAATCTTCAAGGCGAGGACGGGTAGGGAGGCTCCCATATGAAAATTTATGAAATATAATGCTCATCATCTTGCTTAGGGGTGGAAATGCAGATTTTGGTCTAAACTTTGGGTGTTGGGACAGGAGGGCAGTATACCCATACAGGTATCATTTAGGGTTGAGTGTAAAAAAATACCTATGGTCTCTACTCTTATCGACCATAGAAATGACATCAACATGTTCAAAACTCAAGTGGAACCATGCAGGCAATTGGTTTCAGTGTAAAGTTTTGAACATTTTCACTTCATTTCAATGGTCTGCACTTTTATTGACCATAGCTCTCGATGAATCAGCATGGGAGATATCACTCAGTTATTGTAAAAACTGTGTTGGAATATGGTCTCCTTTAGCCTGAGCCACCCCCAGATTTGTATCCTTTTTTATACCCAACACACCTGGTCTCCTTTCCTGAACCTTCTCGCAAGCCGTCCTGTTTTCACCACCTCTCCAGAGAAATCTCTTCCTAATACAAGTGGAAATTCTTTAACGTTTTCTAGCTTTCGCCACAAATTGAGCAGTGACTCTCCATAACCGCTTCGCATTCTGTAGTCTATAGGATTAACAGAAGCGGAGTGGACTCGCACAAGAATATCCGTTGGCGTTCCAAGACTCGGCAGCGGCAGTCTTCCGTGCTGCAAAACGTCGTTTGAGCCAAATTTATTAATATACCACGCCTCCATTGTATTTCTGGCTGAAAGATTTCCTGCATTGTTTGATAATGACCGTTTAAAAGTGTGTATAAGAGATCTAACAGGAGAAACCTGTCGTTTGGATCGACTGAAGGAGAAAGTGTTTGTTTGAGAGAGGGAAAAACATCTTGTTCTCGATGTCAGCAAAACACAGTTTGCCATCGTGTCCCCTGCCGTATTTAAATTTCTTTGGTGTCCGTCAGCTACCTTGGAACGACAAAGACGCGATATCTGTCTGCAAAAAGACGACTACATTGCGTAACACTGCACAGACTAACAGCCTACGATACATCCGCCATTGTTGACAGCAGAAACTAGGAACCAGTCCTCATCATCTCCTCAGGAGCCGACGCTAGAGGGCGAAAAACGGTCCTACGGCTGTCACGCCAAAAAAGCAATTCGTCCTGATTTTTCTCTGGTTGAAAAAAAAAACGCAAACATGATAAAGAAATTCTGAGTTTTACCGAAACACTCTGAAACATCGAAGGCTCAGCAGTTCCCGATTTTTCCGTCAAGATGCGACCCTGCATGTGTCACGTGAGCGGCTCCCCCCTGTGAGAACAAGTGTCTTATAGATCGTTTTCACTATCACCCAACAAAAAAAGAAATTGGAAACCGTCCAGTGGAAGAAGCCAAGAAAATGAAATGTTATAAAAGACTAATGTATAAACAATTTGTCCCAGTCTCAGGTCTTTGTGACCCACAGTTTCTGAGTTATTTGCCGAAACGTTTCACGCATCTTTGTAGAGCTTTGTATGGAGAGGCCATATTGGTGTACCGTTTTGGTGCACCAATATTGCCGCCGGAAATCAACAAAAACATCTGGAGTTCACTTTTTCTATAAAGTTATTTCTTTTAACTCGAGAACTAGCATACGTGCGCATAAACATATCTTCTAATACTTGAAACGGTTATACTGCTGAAAATCAAGATCAAGGAGACAACATTCCTATTTTGGTGTCACCCACTGTTGAAACTAATAAGTTCAAACTGCTGTATTTTCGAAATGAAACGTGCTACGGGAATGGAACCTTGTAAAAAGATTTACTTCAACCCGGTGTAAATAAGAATTCGTAAAACTTCGCTATTTTGACTTCACAATTTGATGACGTCAGGGTGAAAACCATTTATAACAGAAGACCGGAGCCTGACATTACAAAGACACTTAGACAGGAAGACACACCCTATTTCTCCTTGTATATTAAAATAGCTCAGCCGTCGATAGCAATGGGGGAAGACCTTTTGTGCGACCCAGACCCGTGCTTAACTGACACCCTTTTTTCAAGTACCCACGCTAGACCGAGTACAAGGTCGAGACCTTTTAATCGCGGGCACCAAACTGGGCACCTGCCACCGGGTCCTTGCGTGCACACCGTTTTTGTTTAGTTCTGGGGCAGCCCACTGCTTTGTACTCACTGCAAAGCTCTTGTTTTAAAATGGCGTCTGACAGGGCGAAATGGAGTGACTATGTACACAGTTATACATATCGAGCACTCAAGGTACCCAGCCACTGGTGCCACTGGTTCCCTTGCACCCCGGCCTTGCACCAAGTGATCGTTCTTGGTGCCAGAGTAATAGTGCATTGGTATTGGTACAAAATGGTGTTGGGTAATACTGATATGCAACTCTAAAGTCAAGCCCAGTCACACGTCATTTTGTGAACGTAAAAGCGAGTTATGGTGTGCTAAAACCAAAGCATTACCATGGAACTAACAGATCTAACATCTAGTGACCAGTGCCAGAGTTCAAGGTCTCGACCCTGTCAGTACTCGTTCACCAATACCGTGCCCAAAAACTGTCATGGGTGCTTAAAGAAAGAGTATGTTAACATAAGTGGCCAGCGAAAATTAATCTAACCTGCGAGCAAGCTCTCCGGGGCGCTTTGGCGGCGGGGGGGAAAAGGAAGGCTTCTCCGCCCCGCCTCCGGAGCGTCCCGGAGAGCCAATCTCGACCCAGAGCTCTTCTGCGATTCTGCGAGCGCATTTCCAAACCCGTGAGCACTGGGGTCGAGAATGCCCGGAGAGCTTGCTCGCAGGCTAGAGAAAACCGAATGCAGAAACCATGTCTGGGCAACAATGCAAGTGAGAACGTAGTAATGGAATCTACTTTCCATTTTCTGTCGCGTCCGTATTTAACACTTACCAAAAGGCCTTTCCACAAAATTAACCCATAACACTCTCTAATGTGCAGGATTATTAGCCCCAATGAGTGCGATGTTTCAAATGTCCTTTAACGGAACGGTATTATGAGTAACAAAACTTCGCCAATAGTATGTCTTAACAGTTGACAATTCAAAACTGAAAATATTGGGGGGTTGGGGAAAATCAAGACAGAAATAAAATGACAGAAAATAACGTGATGGATATACTTTATTCACTTCTGCAAGGTATTCACTTCTTGTTCCCTGGCTGTTTGAAACTAGAGTGAAGAGCAAGTTACGGCTTAAAACTGCAGCAAATACTGCCTGGAGCCGGTGATTTTGCCTCAGAATTTTAAACACGCGCAAACGAAAGCCGAAGAAACTTTTTGAAAACTCGCCAGATCTAGATTCCAAACAGAAAGTTTCCTCGTACCCAGGCGCTTCTTGGGTTTTTCAACGGTAGTCGTGGCGCAAGGATCATGGGAAAGCTTCAAAAACGCAAAGGCACAAGGGTAGGCTTTATGTGTAAAGCAAAGCGCTTCCAGTTTTTCCCATGACCCCTTGCACCACGACTACTTCAGAAAATCCCAAGAAGCATCTGGGTACGAGACAATACAAAACTGAAATAAAATACCCTCTACGAGTGTAACATCTGTAAAGTTTACTGCACTTGTGAAACTGTACAACATTGAGATAGTGTTGACAGAAACAGCATAGAAAAGTAAACGAAACGACGATCGAGGTAAGCAGAAATGTTCCTAGAAAACTAGGGTTCTTTAATTTTATATTTCTATTAATAAATACTACCTATAAATACATTAACATTGAGAACTAAAGCAATTATTCATCCCGCCATACAGCATAGAACTACAATTTTAAATTAATGAGTAATCATTCTTTTCTTTAAAAAAAAAAAAGTTATTTGTTACAACACATTTGCTGTGCTGCTACAAATCTCGTACCCAGATCTCAATCTTACTTAAACCGACCGTGGGAGGCTGGGCACATATTCTGCTGCATGCGCGGAGAAAACTAGTAATTCCGGTTTAAGACCGGCTTTCACATAAAGTTCACGTAGGCACGGGAATTTTAATGGATTTTCTCGGTAAAACCTCTACAAAAATTAACTTTGCAAAACTTAAATTGACACAACCAGAACTAATAAAAGTCTTAGCAAAGATAACCTTCCGAATCTTTAAACTTCCTATGAAACAAGTAAGCAATAGCAATGTTGTTTGGATATAAAGACTTTTGCATTACAGCTTACTGTAATTTACATTGATACTTTTAAAGTCGAAATTTCTTTGCAGTCAAAACAGATGAAAACTAGTTTTTTGACAGTTACGGATAGAAGATAAACAAAACAGTGAGTAATATAAGTTAAATGATGTCTGTATAAAATTGTATTAACTGAATTACGGCAAAGGCTCTCTAAGTTCCAATAGGTAGAGACCCATTTGGTTTTGAAGTTAGAGACTTAGAGTGGTTTTCGTTTGAGTGTCGTAAAACCAAAACCAAAGTAATTACTCTGGCCAATCACATAGGACACAGACAATACATTGAACCAATCAAAACTCGAAGTAATTACATGTGGCTGACGCAAAGCGCGGGAAAATGCATGCGAGCGCGTCACAATTGGCCTTGATTTTACTTCTGATTGGATGAAAAGGTGGCGCGAATCTTTTAAGCCAATCGCATCGTGTAGAAAGTGCAAAACCAATTACTTTTCGACACTCAAATGAAAACCGCTCTATTGGACAAAGGGACATATAAACCTATAATAGTAATATGGCCAAGAGAGACCGATGTAATGGAACAGTCAAGAAAGACTTTGCTGTAAATTGTCTTAAATTTCTACGGAAACGATCTAAGGGAGGCAATAGAACGTCTTTCTGTTATTTATTGAGTTCACAATTAAAACTATTTCAAATATGACGAAAACAGGAGCCCATAAACTGGAGCGAGCAACATTTATGTCCTCATGTCACGGCGTTTTCACCGATCAGTTTATTTTTAGAATGATTTTGGCGCGAATCTCGGATATCTTTTCAAGTCCCACAAACCAGTTAGCAGAACCTCGGAAAATGATGTTTTTAATATTTTAATAACGTTAGGTTTAGTTTTCCTTTTTTATATCTTACACTTTGAATGCACTCATAGACGGAAGGAAGCGTTCTTTTTTTACAGGAAAAAGTGCTCTAAAATTAATATACCTTCAAATAAACTGTTGTGTAAAAACGCCGTAACATAGGCCTGGTATGTGAGTTGTTCGCTCTGAGTTGTGAGCTCCACATGAAAATAAGCTAAAGTGCGATTGCCTGAGTTCAAACCGGAGAGGATAGAGTACGATCCGTATATGGGATTATCAATACAAAACCCAGGCTTACAAACTAATTGAGTTTGATGTTTATTGGGTTAATAATGAGCGAGATACAGCCTTTCAAAGTCTCCAGAATTTACTAAAAATTATAAGAACATTCGGACAAGTGTTCAGCAATCCACACGTATTTCTTTGTAAATTTACGCTGCATCTTGTTCAAAATAGACCCGATTGACACCAAACTTGATGTATTTTGTACAGCTCGGTATGTTCACTCTGACTATGTGCGTCTTGTGTTGATAAACCTATAATACAGGGACTCGTTTCTAGTCCCGCTCGGTTTGAGCCAAGGAACAGCAAAATTGATTTCCCTCCTATTTTCGCTTTATCTTAGAGTTACTCTCTCACTCTCTCTCTGCGCCCCATCCCCAACTAGAGAGCATGATACGGAAACAGTCTGGATATTCTATAAACTTAATAGTTGAAAACGTTTATGGAGAAGTTATATCTGACCTCTGTTCTAGTACTGACTCTGACTACACAATGAATTCAGGCTTGAGAAATGAATGAGTTACTGAAACGAACGCCAAGGTAGTGTTAAGAAAACATTCATCCAAATTGTTTCTTAGGAAATATCGACAATGATGAAATATATGACGCACAGAACGGTGAATGTCTTACAGAAGGAGAAACTGTACATCAGCTAGAAAAAAGTAACTACACCACATTAAAAATATCGCATTTGCATTTTAACTTCTCTGAAGGCTAGATAAGGTTTATTCCTAAATCTTATTCCTGATGACATTTAACTTTATGATTGATAAAAAATTTATATTTTTACTGCGTTTGTTATTAAACCAGGCTATATTTTGCATCGGCCTATCTTGCTTTAGACGAGATCACAAAAATAGATATTTGACGACGCAAAAGTCGTACAAAACGCTTCGCAAACACGCGGTTAAAAAGTGAATAAAACCAGCGCTAAGCTAAGCTGCCACACTGTCGTGTTGCAAATCCTGTGGAATATATACAAAAGAAACTCTTCTTGATGGTTGATATAAATACTAGTTACAGCTAGCTAAAAAAAAAAAGTCGCCTACTTTGCGTTATGCCGCATTCAAAATTTCATTCCAAATCTACGGAAAACAAAATCCAAATACGAAGATAAACTACCTCCAGAAGTAAAAGCACTAGAAAAAATTTCACTCGAAGGAAATCTCCTTTCCGGACACGACACATGAAGCAAGCTCTGTAAACAGATTTACACTGGAATATTTACTCCACCACGCGCATTCCACCACGCGAACAATACTCTTTACCTCATCACCACCATTGCATTCGTCACCAAGAGCGTCACTTACATCAAACGCCTTTTAGCGTTAAAGCATCACGCCACTTTAGGAAAGGTAATTCAACATGACGAACAAGCTAGCATCAGAAGAATTATGATAAAAAAGGAATATAGCATACCAAACCGGCTAAAAAAAATGTATGGGAAGGAAACTTAAACCAACGTGAATGTGGCTCCAAAAATATTTTACAATATGTACCAAAAAGCGAAACCTAAATAGCTATTTTCCTTTGGCATAAAAAAAAGCCCCAAACCCTTCTCAAATGAATTAGGAGCACTACAACTTTCAAATAACAAATGACCGAATGTACAGCTGAAGACGTCTAAGACACAGAGGCACTTTTAGTAGGGATTGCGCGATCTACAACAGCACTAGAAAGCTACAGAAGTACGCACGTACGCCGAGTCATTATATCAAAGTGCACAAGAAACCTATTTCTTTACCGAAACTGCACAGGACGTTTCTTGCTGTAAAAGTACCATTCATGTTCCTTTCACCAATGTTTGGAAGTTATTTCAATTTGAGTTGGAACAATTGACATCAATTTTTCCAAAGTCCCGCCAAATACAGGAAAACAGCAACCAACCTAAATTTTACAACAAAAATAACAATTCTCTTAGCACCGGAACCTGCCTGCCTTTTCCTGTCAAGCTGTTTTTAACACTCACCAACAAACCTTTCCAGAAAAACCCACAACACTTCTTAATGTGCACGATTAGCTTTATTGAGTGCGATTTTTCAAATGTCCTTTAATGGGATGGCATTCTGATTTGAGACAAATAAAAGAGTTCGCAAATGAACTAAACGAACACAACAACTAAGTATACACTATAGCAGATAGCTCTTACAACAGAACCAAAACCAAATCGGATGGGGCTTTTTTCGTATAAGAAGTGCGATTCAAGAATGCATTCTGTAACGGAGCAAAGTGCGCCACACCGATCTTGAAAGTGGACCGTCACATGTCGGGTAGATACGTAACGTATTTTTCATTTCGACAAGATTAGCGCTCAAGAATGTAAGCCAAACATCTACTTTTTTATCCCTATTCACTAATCTTGCGACTCGAGCTAAACCAGCACATTTAAGAATATTATGGTTTTTTAAGGGGAAAGGCGTATGGAAGCCTAACCACAACTTAAAGAATAAGAAGCAAACTTTACGAAAGGATCGAAGAAGTCCCTGAAAAACTGACGTTTTTTCTAACCCGTTTCAATACCAATGACAATGAGGCCGGCTTACACTATACGATTTGCTGGAAGAGTCTGTCCGCCATATGTTTTCCTTAAAAAACCGTTCGTGCCAAAAAATCGTAGAGTGTAAACCAGCCTGCGAAAATTTAGCTTTTTGAACAACGCACACATTACCATGGTAACTTGTACTGTCACGTGCGTGTGAGAGGGCTTTCTCTGCTGCAGTTACACGGTACCCTCATACAATGAAACCTGTGAGTACACCAGTGCGTTTTTTGACACTCCAATGTACAATAACTTGTGTTCCAACAACACGGATAAAAAGCTTCCGCGCGGCAATTTGCACACCACTGCTTCTTCTTCGCTAAGCTCACTGCTTCCTGCACGGACTTTTCAGCTTCGTCCTTCGCGATCTGTAGCGCTTTTTGAATATGCTTTTCCCTTTCTTGTTTGCATTTTTCTAGCGCTCTCTTAACTGCATCGTCCGTCACGCGTTCTCGTTCCAATCTCTCCTTATTTACGGCTCTCTTCACGGCCTGCTGGATCTCTCGCTCCTTGTTCTTTTGCGAATCGCGCGTGACTTTTTCAATAAGGTCTTTCTTCTCTTGACGCTCCCGCTCAAGCGCCTCTTGTAACATTTTAATAACATTGGGTTGATCCCTTGTAGTAGACAGGTCAATTGTCGGAGTACCACTACTGCAATTCTCCGATGTTTCGTCACAACTTTGCTTACTAACAACAGACTTGTCACGCAATATTCTTTGATCTTGTTCCTCCTTTCTCTTTTTAACGTTATCAACTAACTGTTTAGCACGTTCTCGTTCACATTCCAAGTCGGCTTTCACCGATTTAAGCTCTTGTTCTTGCTGCCTAAGTTTGTCTTCTAACTGCTTGATTTTTTCTTTTTCTTCTTGGTTATATGTTCCGTCTGTCTGACTTTCCTTCGACTCACTTTTGGGGGCTGGTTGTGGGGTCTGAAACAGAGGCCAGATTTAAACTTTGTCAGCTGACGTAAAAGAATCCCCTTTTTTTCCGAATGGATCAAAGAATGTCGGGGTTAACAAACAATTGTGTCCCTTTAGTGAACTTTGTTAGACAGCCAGGAGGATTTCTCCGATATCACATAGTAAAACGCTTACCAGCGTTTGGGGCTCCAGAAAACAAACACAGCAAACATAGATTATCAACAACTGTTAAAATTAATTAAACAAAACACCACAATTCATTGTTGTTTTCGCCAAAATCAATTTGCAAGTAGTGACAAGGGGCGAAGTTCGGGGCCACGCCCTTCATAGAGAAGCAGTCCCCCCCCCGGAAACACACAAAACTTAAGTGGAACCACACCTGCAGGCGAGTGGTTTCCTTTAAAGTTTTGAACATTTCGACGTCATTTCTACGTCGATAAGAGTAATGTTACCGATTTATATTTTTTACAATAACACCGTTGGTTTTTGACGTCCATTTCCGGTCAAATTTCTCGGAAAATCGCACGAAAGAAAAAGACAAATTGCATCATCATGACGTCATTTCTACGGCCTCTACTCTTATCGACCATAAGCTCTCGACAAGAGCCACAATCATCTCTTGCTCTCGACCAATCAGCGAGCGAGAAATGGATTGCCGTCTGCTAAAGAGGAGTATAGACCATAGAAAATTGTCGTCTATTTATTAAATAGCCAATAAGATTGGAGAACTTCGTTACAGTTACGATTGATGATGAAATCGCGTCTGTTCCCCAAATAAAATCATAATCATAAGCCGCACTTATAAATAAATGGTTGGCGAAAACCACAGACTAACGGAGGCAAGAGAACGCGCGTACTGCTCGCAGGTGACTTTCACGATACATGTTATCTCAAATGGGGAGAATTAAGGTTACTACACTCACAGATACTTGTTCATTTCTTGCGTCAGGGTAAAGCAAAGTAAGTTGTCGTTGATATTCTTTCATCTCGTCACAAGCCTGCACCCATCTTTGAGAACGCTTCTTTACTTCCGGTTTACTTGTGATCGGTATCACGTGTTTCCGGCCGACCCAGGCTCTTTTCAAAAGAGAACAGACAAAGCAGTCAATGGCCGCTGCGCAGTTTCCAGTCAAGGTATTCAAAACACTACATGGTTGTAACCAAGTAAAAACATCCACATTCCTTGTTTCCAGCCCTAAACATAGCTAGTAAAAAGTCCCTTCCGGCAATGCGGGACAAGTAGATTTTATTGCGGGGCAAGTCACTTGTAAAGCTTACTTGCAATTCAACTTTTTTTTCGAGCCCTGCTAAATCCCTACACCAAGTTTGCTTTATCTAAGCAAGAAGGAAATTCGATCACTTAGTGATTCGAAAACTTCGACAAGCTGACGGTCATTAAGGCCCTTTATCAAAATTATCTGCAGCAGGAGAAATAAATAGTGAAGAAACAATAAATCTAACTTTCCACCAAGAGCCAGCGTACCTTGCAAGCATTTCCGAGTGGTTACAGTGCTTGGCTGGCTGCCGGAATTTTGGAGCACTAGATCATGACCACGAGTGTACATTTTGACCAATTTGTAACTGAAAACGGGCATTTTTTGGACAAATTTTCAAAGAGTTTTCCTCTAAGTGCGTATGATTTGGTTTGTTTTCATACAAAGAAATATGCAAACAGTTTACAAACATTGACTTTCTCTAAAGTTCCTAATAAAATAGAAACTACAGGCGTTTCCTTGACGAAGCTGGCAATGACTTTTAAAAGTGGCGTTTCTACAAATCTATCAAATACCAATTCACTTCTCATCTGTCGAAAGGTTTCTTTTTTTCGTTTTCACAACGCCTTTGTTGCCAATAAAGAGTAATGCGATATATATTTTTCAGTTCATCTTAAATATCAGGCTGTATATTTGCCCTTTAAAGGCTCTTTAGAGACATGAGGGTCGAATTCCAGCACGTTTTCCATCGTCAAAACACGCAATGCCAAACATGAAATTGAGGCAATGTTTTCATAAACAGCATTATATTACCAGTGCCCAGTCATCTTAAAGGTCAAGTAAACCGGGCAACATTTTCGCTCAACTTGTCGCGCAAAATTGTTGCATTGCAAGTTCGCACTCAACTTGTCACGCAACAAATTTCAATGGTGCAAGTTGCGGCTCATTTTCGAAAATCCCGCGTTGTGATTGGTCAATGGTGTGTTTTGTGTCAGCAAAACAAAATCGCTGACGCGCTGGCCTTTCTAAGAAAGCGAGGGACAGCCCCTCTGGTTAAGGATTATCAATGGACGAAGAAGGTCAAAACCACGCAAAAGAAACCGAAAGGTTTACATAATAGAGTGGATTGCTTTGTGGGAAGAGGGGGGCTTCACCATTAGCTGATAAAGGCACTTGAGTCGGGCCGGAAACATTGTTGCTTAGAGGTTTGACATGAATGATAACCGATCCAAAGCTCTTGTCCTCCGCTGCTTGTTTTTATAATTCGCTCCACAAGTTTCCCATAGACATGGGGGCCTGTCAAGTTCTTTGCATCAATCTTTTCTTTGGGCCTCTGACATTTTTTCACTTTTTAAATCACAATCTTGGGCTTAAACATGATCACCCTCCACAACCTCCGCCATGTTTACTTCCTGCCTAAATTTGCCCGAGGTCAAGCGCGCGCTTATTCACCATCTTTCCCGCGCCTTTAGCGCGGGAAAATCGACCAATTACAAGCGTTGTCACACAAGTGATAAAATTGAAAGTTGGTTGCCAAAAGTAGAACTCGGGTCTACTTTGTGCAACATGTTGCCGCAACTTGCAACATTGAAATTTGTTACGTCACAAGTTGAGAGTGAATGTGGTAATACTGAGGGCAACAACGCTTTTCAATTTGCAATGCAACGGTTGAGAGAAAATGTTGCCCGTATTACTTGACCCTTAATTCTGCTTCAACAATGAGAAAAATCTCCTTCATGTGCTTTACCCATGTTAAACAACTTCGAGTCCTGATTTCTTTTTATTCTTTCTAAACGTTCCTAATTTCACCAAGGACGCCAGCAGAAGCGCAAGTATAGGAGTTTTGACTCAAGTAAAACATACGCCGGCAAGGCCGCCGAAGCACAATAACAGCTTCAAATCATAGTTATTAGAGGAGACTGGTTATGAAAAGCGGCAAACATCAATGATAAAAACAACAGTGCTACAGTTTATGTTGGAAGCACCCTGAAAGTGCACAATCCTTTGTTTTCTGTTGGCAAATTGTTACGGAACGTTTTTATTGGTCAATACAATCAAAATGATAGGAATTCTTTTGAACGTTGTGCACTTTCAGGTCCACAAAAACATATAACAAAGGAGTCTGACGGGTTTCATAACCATTCCACTCAATTAACTATGTTCAAATTATCTATTCCGCATAAAAATGTCAGTATCTTTTCGGGTCGCCAGTATCGTTTCGGTAAAACCAGAGTAAATCACCTATTGAATAATGATTTTGTAAGTTGATGAGGCAACACTCTGTGGGTGCTGAAATGCGTTTCAAAGTGGACGTTGCCTTTCACCGTGTTTTACAAATAACCAGGAAAACAAAGACAATTAAAACAATAAATCAAGTGTAGTCGTACCTCTGGTGAGCGGAGCCAAAGAATCGAACTAAAGCTTTTGTATTGTCCTCACTCCAGCTTAGTAACTGAAACAAAAGTTGTGATACATTTTTACTTAGCACACAGCACCTATAGGGTCGATATAGGGGAATGAGCTGTAGGCAAGTGATAGTAATAGTCTTCAGAGTCTTGTTCAGTAAATCAACACCCTGACTTTGTGTCGCGATGGCGACGAAAAGGTCACTTCGCGCAATTTTAAACTTCATCGCTCTCATTCCATCTCGCCAATTTGTTTAATGCTGCGAATTTTTTAGGTGCTAAATTCTAAAGGATCGCTTCCAAGTTGAGAGAAAGAAAAAGGAAAACAGCCTTGTCTTGTGTTCACTAGGGACCTTACAATCTGATAACGGCGACGCCAATGAAAAGGTTACTGAAAAATTGACTTTTCGTCCTTTCAAACTTTTGCGCCCTTATACCAAGTCACCCAACTACCTAAAAGTAGCGAAATTGAAATTGAGACTGAAACTGAAGAGAGGGAACGCGTCCGAGTTCGAAGAGAGCTGGTGAAATTCATCGCCTCTACCGTTCTCAAGTAACGTTGTAGTTGTGCAGCGAAGGCAAAGAAATTTACAAAAAAAGCGTGATGCACGTGCAGAGTTACCGTTTTGCTTAACCTATTACTTTCTGTTATTCTCGTTGCCGGGCCGTTGAGGGTGCCTGCAGGGCTGTTTACATGGAGGAAGGAAGATCCTAGAAGGCGGGACAACTTTTCGTTGGGTTACATGCAGAAATTTCGGTCCGTGTGGTGCCCAAGTAGTGGTGTGGTGCCGGTCACTCAACGGTTTACCGTCAAACTCACCCGAATATCATCTCGCCCGAGGTTATGTCGCCTGCTATAAAGCTATGCAGTCACGGCCTTTTAACGCTTAATCCTGTTTTCAAATACACCTTTTTAAAGTTGTCTAGGTTCAGAGACTATGTATCTAAGTGTAAATTAACTCTGGGGTTCGGGCGAGATGACTTTCGGGCGTTAACTGTTACCGTGTGGTTATATGACTTACTTTGGCTGGCCACGGTGGTTCTCCTGTCATCTTTGCCCAGACAAGCTCATGAGGAAAGTACTACAATAAAGCACAATTACAATCAACCTTGCCCTTGTACTTTTCAGATCTCCATTTTTAAATTTTTCAAAACCAAGGGCGGTCCTTTTGCAAAAATTATATTGTTTCAGTTAATAGCTGGTTTATACAGCAAAGAGCTACGGCAAGAAGCGAATGAAAGAAGCCTTATAGGTAGCCTGGGAAAATAGTCGGCATTATGCGACGACACCACTGGTTTCCCCACAGGTAAACCAGGCTCACTGTTTGTGTCACGTACGGGTTTCATAACACGAGTAAATATAGAGAACATATGGGGCGAAATTTATAGTGGCCACTAAACTATGTAGGAAAGATGAAGCAGACTATTCTTCTCGAAACTTCGTGTGCATATTAAGGACAACAACAACTCGCCATATGGTAAGTTTCATCGGTTTTTATTTCCATTTTCTAGCAAATTTCCAGACCTAAACTTCGCCCCATATGTTCTCTATAGAAACCCGTCCGTGACACAAACAGTGAGCCTGGGTTACCTGTGGTTTCCCCAAGAAACGAGACCTGAGGAAAGGGCGCAGAAATTCCATGCTGATTACGTGTTGCTACCAAGGTTTGGCCAGTGCTTCTGATTGGTCGTGTCGCGTGGGAAACTTGCTTCAGTCCCCAGATCTGGGTAGCAACACGTCATCAGTATGGAATTTCTGCGCTCTTTCTTCAGACGCCATTCGTGGAAACCAATAGTGGCGTTGAGAAATGACGGCTGTTTTCTCAGGCTGTCTTATAGCTAAACCCATAATAGAGAGGTGAGGCAGTGGTTATTCAAGTCAACAACTATCCTGGAAAATGTTTGGCTGCGCATAAGATGGAAGACGCAGACGCTCTGATGGCTTCGTCACGCGTTTAGCCCTAAGAACGTTAGGTCTCCTAGGCAGCCGTTTCTAGTGTTGTCACGCAACGCTCCTGTTCACAAACGTATGAATTATTCTGGAAAGGAGCGTTGCGTGTCGAAACTTAAAACGACTGGACTGTAATTTATAGATCTTATATGCTAAAGTTTTAATTTAAATTTTCAACAAATCAAAGATTTTCCGTCACATTTATGTTTTTCTAAAGGAAAAAAGTAATGCACAACACATTCTCAGAGTTTTGCATTTCATCAGTTTATACAAAGGAGAAGCAATATTACAAAGAAGTGATGGAAATTGTCTTCACGTGATTGTTTTGATTAATACTAAACGACACTTACACATGGTTTACAAAACCAATTTTTACTCCGCACATTGGACATCAAATAACAATCAGGACATCGGATCATTTCCTCCAACTAAAAATTAGTTAAATTATCACAGTTAGCAGAAACGTCCCCTGGAAATACAAAAAGCTATACAGGCAGGAAGCATTAAGCTGAAGAAGGGATTATTTGCGATGAAAATGGTTACTAAGGTCTGTAAAGATGTACATAAAAACATTTTGGGCTATCTGGATTGAAATTTTATTTTCAGATAGAAATGGGTAGTTTGCTGGTGAATTAACTGAAAACACAGGGAGCCCAAACAGTCTGTTTGTATAACTAATTGCATTGTAATTTTATTTAAGAGGAATTATATCAGTAAAGAGCGAACTCAAAATCCTTCAAAATCCCTCAAAATACCACTTCTGAGCCAAAAAGACAACAATTTACTGAAGGTAAGGTAACACAACGTTTATTTAGCATTGATTCATACTCATATTTAACCATATACCACTACATATGAAGTTAGATGACACAAACTCTAAAATTAAAATGCAATCAGTTACACAAACAGACTGTGTGGACTCCCTGTGCTGAAAAGGGTCTCAAAACCTTGCGATAATAACTGCTGAAACTACTGGCACAAAAAGTCAACTCTACCAACCCTCAAAATGGCTGACTCATGCAAAAGAAATCCATCCCCTGGGTAACTATTTGCATCTTTTAGTATCTTCTTGCCCCAAAACACAATTTTTTTTCTCAGACACATTTCACAGTTATCCAAACAACGCATTCATCCCATGGGGCTTCACTTATTTGTAATGAAGTTTATCACAGTCGTTTATCAAATGCAGGTGCATTTGTTTTGAGGTGTGGAGAAAAGTAATTAGGAGAAAGATGAGTTCAAACCTGATATTAATCACTAACCTCCCCATCACAATCTTCCATGATAGCCTCTGCAAGATCAGTCATATAATCATCATCTGAAAGAGGAAATTATTTCAATTCTATCATAAACGTTTACAAAAAAAGCAAAAGCATTGTATAATCAACAAGGAGTCTTTACTGTCTACAAAAATTTTGAACTCAAAATGAACAACATGAACAAAGACCAGAAACGAAAAATGATTTCTGTATTTTACCTCCAAAATAAATTAATGAATTATGGAACATCCACTGGGATTCTTCCCTGAATTCTCTGGGAGTCTTAAAACTCCTTTTATCTACCATCTAAAAGAAATCACACATTACAATCTGATCAGACAGTGCTTGCAATGCTCTCATTGAATTTTGTATTCTAGTCAAATGGAGACATTTTAAGGACTAGTACCCATGGCTTTTGAGCATACAGATAAAATGCTATGGGGTAACCCTTTAAATGAAAGTTCTTGACAATTTAAGCCCTAAAATGATCAGCTTGAAATGTCAATGTGAACAGATTGGTGACAATAATTAAGGACATGATCACATAACGAGTTGATACTTCAACAATTTCTCCCCACCACCTCAATAGAAAATGTATATGGGGCACCACATGAGAATTTAAATTTTGATATAAAGGGTTTAACCGTTGAACAGTTTTAGATCTAAAAACAAGCACAAGCATTATTGTTTCCCATCTTTGCAACCCTTGTAAAAATTATTCTGTTTAAGCATGCACAATATTCATTTTACCCAAGCTAGTCTTGGACATCATAAAGGTTATGTCCAAAAGTAAAAATTACTGGCACCTATGCCGGAGACTTGGCCTGTTGGCCTGGATTTGGCCTGTCAAAACTGAGTCTAAAATATGAGGCATGTAATGTCTACATGTATTGCCACACATTCTTATATATATCGATGGACTGCTAGTCCATCACTCTGTTATGCAGAGGGAAGAATAGTTAAGTGCAGCAAATCATCCAAAATTGGATTATCTTTAGTACTAACATGTTCTAATTTCACTAGATCCATTGGTTTAAATACAAAATCTTCATAGTCAGGGTGTTCTTCCAATGAAACTGGTTCCATGTATTCTTTTGCCTGTTTAAATTAATAATGAAATAGATAGATAAGTAAGTAAATAAATAAATAAATAAATATGTAATACAAAAGTTTACACTGGTGCATGACGAATGTGATGAAGAATGCAAACTAACATGTATTTATAAGAGATAGCTTAAAAATTAAGTTCTACTTTCAGGTTTCTTTAGTATGGTCCAAGCTATAGTTAGGCAAGTGGTGATTTCATACAACATACAGTATCTTAATTACAACAACTATTAAGCCTCGATGTGGATTATTACAAGATGAAATAATATTTTACAGCCAAAGAAAAGAGAACTTACATGGATCAGTGATAGTCACCAAAACGAAAACAAAAAACATGTAAACTTCTGGAAAATTGTAATGTAAAACAATTAATTTTCCTCTGGCTCAAAAACAGCCTTACATCTAAGAACTGTTCCAGGGCCCTTCCATTTCAGTTCATAACAATTTTTTATTACACTCCTGCTTACAGCAGCAATTCCAGAAGTTAATTTACCATTATTAGCTTCTTTAACCTTTATTAATTTTACTTAATAATAACACACATATGTAAAAACTGTAGATCACTTGGGTGATAATACTATTTATTATATAGACATGAGTGTTTTACTGGAAAATAAACCACTCGTAAAATTCATAAAAGCTACATCCGGGACCCGAGTGGTTTATTTTCCATAATCTCACACGTGAGTTTATCGATGACCTAATTTCGGTAGTTTCTCTCCATTATTTTATCAATGTCTAAATAGAGGATATTACACGGCGGCTTGAAGATACAAATTTTATTTTCTCGTGGCAAAAACAATATTTTATAAATGAGCTGCACTCATTCGTAAAATATTGTTTTGCCACTGGAAAATAAAATTCATATCTTCGCGCCACCGTGTAATATCCTCTATTTATTATATAGACACGAGTGTTTTACTGGAAAATATACCACTCGTAGAATTCATAAAAACTACATCCGGGAACCAAGTGGTTTATTTTCCATAATCTCACACATGAGTTTATCGATGACGTAATTTCAGTAATTTCCCTCTATTATTTTGTCGATGTCTTTTTGTCTATATAATAAAAAGAACATTACAAGGGGGCTTAAAGATATGAATTTTACTTTCTTGTGGCAAAAACAATATTTTACTCACTCACTGCGCTCTAGCCTGCGAAAACATCCCTTTCTCCTCGCTCTTTGCCGATGGGGACATTTCGCGCGGAGGAACGTCTACGACTCAGTGACAGAAATTCCATACTGATGACGTAAAATCTGTCCGGAATCCGGTCAGAATCGCTGATTGGTCGACGGAGAAGTTAGATTCTTTTAGCTATGGTTTATAAATGACAGACAAAAGACAAAAGGCCACAAAGGTCGAATGTAAACGCGAAGAATCTCTAACAAAACAGTCAATATTTGTGGAATATAGTCTTCTCTATAAGAAGCATTTGAGTTTTGCTGGATCTTGTTGGCAGATGAACACAACAATTTACCGAAATCGACCAGACGACACCTAAAATTGGACAAATTCGTATTTGGAACCCCATGACTACTGGATTTATTATGTAAACATTGGATTGCATCAACAGTATGGAATTTCTGCCGCTGAGTCGCAGACGTTCCTCCTCGCGAAACGTCCTCGGCGGCAAAGAGCGAGGAGAAACGGATGTTTTCCCAGGCTAGCTGCGCTCGTTCATAAAATATTGTTTTGCCACTCGAAAATAAAATTCATATCTTCGCGCCACCGTGTAATATCCTCTATATAATATAACAGCTCTTAAAAACATCAGCTACAGTTGTTGCATTATCATTTGCAACCTTGAGATAATTATCCGTATAACAGTACCTTTTCTTTCATCCTCTCAAGAGTAAACTTCAAGAGCTTGGTAAGTTGTTCTGCAGTTTTGCTGGACATGAGTGCAGGTAACTTCTGGGGCTATAGATCCAGAAATTAAGAAAAGGTTATTTTTCATCACAGAAATTTACTACATTCCATACTCCACATGCAACCACCTCCCATAAGTAAACCCTGTCATAAGCAAACACCTTTGCGCAAAAACAAAATATTTTGGTTGGTCACTTAAACAAAAAAAAAATGCCCCTGGTTTTAAGACTAACTACGAAACAGTTTGATGACACAGTTGAAACTCCCCACAACGGCCATCTTGTGGACAGAAGAAAGTGGCCATTGTAGAGAGGTTTAAACAAGAGTCAATGTATAGACTGTCTGCCAAAAAAGTGGCCATTGTACGTAGAGAGGTGGCTGTTGGCATATTTAACAATTATTCCTCTAGCCCGAATGGGCTCTGAGTCAATAGCCCATGAGGCCGAAGGGCGAATGGGCTTTTGACTCAGAGGCCATGAGGGCGAGAGGAATAATTATTTTGGTAAAATCCAACTAGTTGGTCAAAAATGTCGCGACAAATCAACTTTAGCTAGTTAAAGCTAGACTCTAATCCTTTTTTGCACTAGTTGGATTTTACTAAAAAATAATATTGCTGGTACTTGTAGTGGACAGTACTGCTTAGAATCTTGTCCTGTTATTAATACAAAGAAAATAGATCCCATTGTAAAATAGGTTTGTCTGGAGACATGGTGTTTTGGTCAAAAGTGTAAATGTCAACAACCTACAGATATATATAACTGCAAACTACAGATACACAAAAAAAAGACTCCAAAATGACTTGTAGACTACCTGGCATGAAGGGCACTTCCACTTGCCATTGATTACGGTTCCTGAATGTGCACATTTCTTGTGAAATACACGTGGGCAATATTCACAAGCAATAACTTCCCCTGCTTTATGACACTCCCAACAGTACCAGTCATGTGTGTTAGCTGAAAGTTTTTTCCTTTGATTTTCTATTTCTTCCTGTCACAAAGAAAAAGACAAAACTATAAGTTACTGCAAATTTATTTACCTTAAAGTTAGCAATGAATTGCACAGAAAAAGAAATCTAAGGATGAGTAGAAAATGAAAGATAAGGGGACAGAAAAATTTCATAAAAAGGACTCCTGTACTAGAAGGTTTGTTACAAGACAATACTTTTTCTTGGTTATTGCTTCAATGTTTACAAGAATATTGTCTTATACACCCCCGTAAGAATGATCCTCAGCTTGCTATGGTCTCTCTCTTAAAGGTCATTGCTTAAAATAATACACCTGCCAAATCTCACACTTTCAGTAAGAGTTTCTGCCCTGTGGATTCCAAACTTGTCCAGCTCATACACTGTACCTGCAGACAAATTTCTGCCTGGCAGAGAAATTTGAGCTATGAGAGTCTTTCACTTAAACTAATACTATTCCTAATACTCTAAAGGCCAGTTCAGTTTTAACAAATGTTTTGTTCTATTGTAGCTGGGCATGTATGCACTTAATTTAAGCTAATACACTTTAGATACCCTATCTAAGGATCACACCAGGAACACAATGCCAACAAGGGCAAAAATGATACCCTACTCAAGGTCCAGGACCCTTCAAAACCATACCCTACTGGGCAGAACATACCTATCCAGCCCATATTTTCTTTATTTTATTTTATTAATTTTTCCAAAACAATAAGATTAAGTGACACTACAAAAATTAACCCGCAAAAATATTACTGAGACACGGCAACAGCAAGTGCCAGTTATTACAGGTCCATAAATGGGAGTACTCTCCCCCCTGCCAAGGATATCCTGAGCATATGTTTCTCCCACTGATTAAAAACTTGGGTAGAGAGAGACAAATGTACAGTTTTCTCGAGCAAGGGACAAAGTGATGGCATGGAGCCAAGCTAAGGGTTGAGCATTTTAACCCTGTCTTCATGGTGTGAAGTCTGAAACGCATAAACCATGAACACTACGCCCCCGCAGAAACTTGAGTATTGCCAACTAATACTGTACTTATCATCATATTACTGGCTAAAAAGAAAAAAAGAATAATTGTTGTACCAAGTGCACGCCTTTTGATTTGAACCAAGAATACTTGAAAACTAATCATTTCTGAAAATAACATTGGAAGTCCCTCTTTTTGAGAGGAACTTAAAAGGCTGGTTTTGAGCCAAAACAGTGTTTAATCATGATTAATGTTGGCAAGGTGTTGAGAAAGGCAACGGCAAGCTAAATACACTGTATACTCAACAGAAGACGACTACTGGCATCTTAAGGTTTAAAAAGGAGCGCTAATTAAGATAGAAACAAGAAAATATGTGTTGAGCAAATTTTAACACCTTCCTAGAATGTATGCCAAACGAAAGAAAAAAAATGTAACTAAGAAATTTAGAAAGGACCGGATAAAACAATATCTCACTAAGGTGCCATTATCCACGTTCTGTGCGCTTTTTAATACAACTATACATCAGAAAGTCAAACATGACTCTGGGAATTAATGCTTTTTGCGATAACGATCAGTTCTCAATTAGAATACTCTTAATTTTGGTAATGCAGTGACTGTTACAATTCTGGTCGGCTAGATAACGGGCACATCTGTGGAGGAATTGTTTACTTCCGAAAAGAAATGGCGTTCTATTTCGGTAGAAGATTTCAATGGCAATGTGTATGCAAACATATGCAAATTAAGAAAACAATTACCGTAACCAACGAGCATTAATTAAACCAGTGGATCCAACGTAAGAGATATAGAAAAAACACGACTTTCATTACTTGATGTTCAAAACCTGAGAAAGGAACACGGCCGATGACTTCATCACGCTTAGATGAGAAATCTTCCGTGATTAGAAATGAACTATCCCTCTTTTTTCAATCGTGATAATTGAAGCAATGATAAATTCACCGGCAGAAGAGTTTAAGTGGCCCCCAATATCAATAAATATTCATAGACAAACCTCAATAAACGTGGAACATAACAATTAGGCACAAGAACCTCTAATCTGCATTAAAAGTGAAGCCGAGTTCAAAATACCAACAACCACTTGCGTTCAACATTCTCACGGCATGTCAGAACGCATTTTTAAGCTACATTAACTCAAGGTAACAGACACAAAAGTTATCTAATCATTTTTTTCTTCCCATTCAGAAAAAAACTAGGGAATAGACTCTTGTATTTTTTCGTGTTATGAATATTCCGGTTTTGTTCGATAACAATTTGCATGAATATTCAGACGGGTTTAAAATCACTGAACTGTGTCTTCCCAAACAGAACTATTTCATCATAAAGTTTTTGCCATTAAATAACCCTAAAATACATTCACTTATGTATACTTGCCATGTCGTGCTTTCCCCTCGACAGTAAAAGACGTTAGCGACGAGAAAAGAACCGCCCCCGCGTTTAAGTAAGCTTATAATACCTAAACAATAAGAGGCCTTCTAACATCGCTTGCGCGTCTAGTCACTTCCTGCGAAACTAAAGAACGCGTGTTCTAACACATGGAACGAATTATTTTACTCACTTCGTCCTCTTCGTCCTTTCGAAGAACTCTGTACGCCGTCTGTGGGATTCCTTTAGTACTACCGTGGCTTGAGAAGGTAGTAACTTGGAGAATCAAGCCATCTTTTACCGCAAACTTCAACTGCCGAAGAATCTCAGACTTACTCCAATCAAATTCTTGAAGCACTGATCGTACAATCCTTCCTTCGTTCGGACACTGTTTCTGAGCCGAAATTTTCACAATAGCCTCCTTCAGCGCTAAGACGTAGAAGGGATCAGAATATCTCCTCACAGCGAACTTTGCCATCCCAAACACACAGCCACTTTTGTCTCCATACAGGTCTGTGAACGTTTCGCGGTCCTCCAGTCAAATACGCATGCTTTTCGAAGCCTGCGCGGAAAGCGAACAAATCCACGATCTCCTTCCGATGACGTAACGGAACACCTCCGGAAATCGATCTCAGAATGGATCACGCAAGTTTGAAACCGAAGGGAAATGATATCGGGCGTCTTTTACTTTTTAATGGCTATACAGTTGGTACACACTTGTCTAAATTCACCTGAGGAAACTAAAAAGTTAATACTATTCCTGAGCGTAGATTCTCAAGCATTAGCTAGCATTATTTTTGGGGTTGCCTTAGAAACTCTGAGACAAGACTCGCGCGTATTTTGTGGAAGGCGCGCACTTCCTCTAGTTCTGTGCGTTGACAATTGACCTTTGTAAACCTGCCAATATCAACAGTTATCACAGAATCAATTTTCCAGTTCCTCGTTTCAGTCAACCGTTCACGTACTATATTTCTAACATTGCTGAGTCATCCCCTAGCCCTACCCTGAACCTGGCACCTGTTCTTATATCACATACATTTTAAACAATATTCCTTTATAATCAATATTTTTTTTATTTAAAAGTGCTTTTGTCATCAACAGCCGTTGTCAGAACTGCTTTTTTTGTTTTATGTCGCCCTTGGTAATCAAATCCACTCCTATCATAGTATACTTCCGCATAGTACCGTTAAAGTTGTCATTCTTTTTTTCACGGGGTACTTGGTAATGTTTAAGATATCTTGGAAAGGAACGACGATAGTAGGCTCGATTACCAGCCGCTGTTCGGGAAAATGAGCCAGCACTCATCCCCCAGCACTCATCCTCTTCGGGGAGGATCCAAGACCGGACCCGGGAGACGGCGGAAATCGAGCCTACGACGATAGGAGCCCTCCTCCTTTCCGTTCCCGCTTTCACTGCTGCATGGTCAGGTTCCTAAAGTAACTTTTCGGCTTTGACAAGAATTCGTGACAGTCGAGAGATTCAAATTCATGAGACATGTGGTCCGTTGACGAAACATCAGTTTCTATGTGTAGGGGTTGTTGGTTAAAATGCGGAGGCGTGATAGAATACTGCATAACGATGTTGGACTCCGGGATCTGGTTCCCATTTCTAGAAGTGACTAGGGCGATGAAAAGATACAGTAGGGTTCCCGACAGTTTGAGAAAAACTTTGCCAGATGGAGACTTATGTTTGCCTACTTTCCACAAACACTCCAAAGAGCAAAAACTTTCCGGACCACAAAACTCTTCGGAAGTCTTGAAAAGGGTCAGACGTACAGGATGCAACCTATAATATCTATATTTTTACGCTAAACAGACTTATATACTTAGGGCCTGTTTACATAGAGTTGGGGGACCCCAGGTACGTGAGGTAACCCGCTTAGGTGGGGTAACCCGCCTGTCCATACAATCTCTCATTTTAATATGATCACGTTTACATGTTACATGGGGGAGAGTGCAAGGGGTGCGCACCCCCCCCCCCCCCAGATCACCTGCGGTTTTCTAATACAACTGGTATTCTGCAAAAAAAAAACTATGTAATTTATTGGTGTTGAACTAGAGCAAGAGACGAGTGCACCCCCTCCTAAAAAAAATCCTGGATCCGCCCCTGTGTTAGGTGGGGTAACCCGCCGCATGTCACTACTTCCAAGCTGTAAGCCAGGAGCCCATAATGGGCTCCTGTGTAAGCTTATTTTGAATTTAATGTTAATTAACCTATTTATTATCTTTTTTATTCTCCTTGGAATTGTGGCAAAATACTAAAATAAATGAATGCACGCCAGGACTCTCTTTTGACCGCTCGCACGTTGTTGACCCGCACCAGCACAAAACGGCGGACTATTTTGCAGTCTAAACTTGACTGGGCTGGACGTCAGACTATCTTTTGCTATTAAATGTAACCTTACTGCGTACAGCTGCCTCTTCCCCTTAATTCTCAATTTTGTTTGAGGGGAAAAAAGGGCGGCTGAAAAAAACAGCCGAGTGCAAATCACGCAACCAAGTTTGAATGTGATGCAAAACAACACAGGCAAGCCACATAATAAGAAACAGCCCACATTTCGCCCGAGAGATACAGGGTTTAAAAGGAGAAAGGTGTAACGATACAGAGGAATATTTTGAAAGAGGCTCCCCGTCTGAATAAAAAAGTCATATGCTACAGAACATTTGCCGGAGAATTTTCCGATCTCCGATTCCTAACGGACACGCTGGAGATGGTAAGCCACTTCAAAAAATACCATAATACTCTTAGTCAACAGGTTCGATCTTGCTAACGCCTTAGCATTCTAGTCACGACACAATGGAATTCACGGTACACATGAACGACAGCTTGCGTTAAAAAATACCTCCGATATGAAAAGATACAGCTTTATATCCAAATGGAAATAGGAAGTAGGGCACTCTGGAACTTAATTTATTTTGCTAACACTTGCATGCATAAATCATGGTGTGTAGCCTTCACAGTAAGTGTGGGTTTTGTTAGGGCAAGAGGAGAAATTTCGAGAACACCCACGAATGCACGATGGAAGTCCTCTTTATGTGTTCCCCTTGCGTCCACGGTTCTATCTAGAATTTATCTGTTGGGGGAGAAGTCCCGAGTAGCCGAAGGCTATGAGCTTCCTAGGAGGGACCGAGGGAATGCCCCCCAGAAATTTGTTGAAATGAATATGTGCCGAGATGCAATCTGGTACATTTTGAGACAAAATTGTGTGTAATGTTACAGTGTGTGCACTGACCTCGTCGAGTCTGGATAATTTTTCCGATATAGTTACTTATTTTCCATAATGATAACAATATTTTTGGGAAGGAAGCTGGGCATTTGGGAGGGGGAGGGGGAACTTCTACCACTCAAATACCCAAGGTAGAAACCTGGCGTGGTCTAAAAACTCTAACAAAAAAACTAACTGGCTCCGAAAATGCCTGAGTAAAAGCACGGACAACATTGTGACAGTCAAGTTTAAAAGATGCACTATACAAACAAACAAAAATCTAAGATTTACAGGTGAGGATTTGTCTGTTTGTTCAAGAATGAGGGTGTGCATGACTGGTTAACATGACCGGCAAGTGAAGTTCTTGGCTGGTCAGGTCACCATTCAGGTGGGACACTGTCTGTTGACCCGCCATTATTTTAAGCCCTGTAAACAGTGGAACAGCAAAAATCAAATAATTATGTGTTGTCCAGCCAAAGTTGAATAACACAAATTTTATTGCCCTGTCACTCCCTAATAATAATCATTTAACACAATTTATGTCATCAGACAACGCAAGACTTTTAAAACTCTAAATTAATAAACAACAGATATACAACTTGAACTAATCAGCTGGCCTTATTTACAACTGTATTTACATTCAGTAAACATCAAAACAGTATTCAAGAGAAATCAAGAAAAAAAATGAAGGGAAATGTTTAGAGGTAAATAATGCAAACATCACTTAATTTTGAAAAGATCCAAGGAAAACGATCTCTTGTCTGTTTAATATTATTGTAATGAACTGATTGCTGTTATGCTGACGCTGCCCACATGAGATGAGGTAAAAAAGTCTGGAATAGGAGTCACTGAAGATGATATAGAAAACAGTCTGTTGTATTTGTTGCTCAGCACTTGTATTATCAGTATAATTATTGTCCATAACAAAGCAGCATCACCATAAACTCCACCTACACATGGTTTATAATGTAAAATACTTGGAAGAGCAGATCCATTTTCTGAGCCAGCTCAGGATCAATTCTATGACACATCTAAAAAGAAAAAGACAATGTTAACTTTGTTATTTCTTGATCTAAATAAAAAGTACAGTCAAACCCTGCGTTACTGACACCCGCCTAATACGGACGCCTCATTAGCATGGACAGTTTGCTTTGTCACTGGGAAAGAAAGTCCTTACATTACATTTTCTCTAAAACCCACTTTACACAGCCACCCTGATAATATGGACATTTTGCATGCCCCACTGTCTCTATTAACTAAGTTTGTAAAATGAAGTAAAATGAAGCTTTCTGGGGTGTCTCTTTTTGAGAACACGCATAAAAAACTTTAAGTTAAATCTTGCACTCGTAAATGTTCTCATCCTCAAATCTAAAGCCCTCTAATAAGTCTTTCTTGGTAGATTTGGCATACCCAGAGCTCATAACCAGATTCTGGAACAAAAGTATGGGCTTTTGAGGTCAAAATGCAGTCAACACTCGTGAAATGTCTCTGGCAGAAGAGCTTGCTGAAGGCGGACGTACCTGCTGGCTATTCTGAGCAAGGAGATTAGGCCATGGATTGCTGAGATAAATCAGCCTTTGAAAATATTATTCATCTGGTTTCACCACATAAGTGGATCTATAATATTTATTATCTCAAAATGACCCCTTTGATACAAACCCCTAAGGTCAGTTTTGACTGTAAACAAACCTCATAACATAAGCATAGATTAGTAAAAGATTAAAACTAGGACACTTACATGTTGGTGCTGTCTCTTGAAATCTCCTCTGTACTTGATCATAATTAAACTTGACAAATGCATCATATTGTTCTAGGATTTACAAAGGAAAAAAATAAATGCTATTTTATCAGTTAGAATTTAAACAAATCTGTACACAACACTCTGCGGGCTGCAATCTGGCAGTGACGCCAATCTGGACATCACCATTTGCAAACAAGAACAACAGCTCAAGGCTAGAAAACTTCAGCAACAGTATGCCCAAAGGGCAAGCCACTTCTTTAATTTTCCTCTCACCCTATGTAATCCACAGTGTATCATTAAAGAGCAATATTCTTGGCCATTTTATGAGGGTTTCGATTGCCAGAACACGCCTAATTCCAGAATTGCAACAATATCACTTTTCTTTTATATTTATTTTAATTAGCTCTTTTTTCCTCAATTGTGTCTGCAGAATTCAAAAGAAATATTGCCTTGAAATTAGGTGTTGAAGACAACTTAGCATAAAGACAAAAGAATAACAAAATTTGCTGCCATGTTGGAATAAAGTGTATGTACTGTTGAAATCTTGGAAGTCTTGTTATGAATAGTTCCCAGTCACAAGACAGTGTATTTCAACCAAAAATGATTAAACAGTGTTTTACTGGGCTCTTCAACCAAACCAACCAACAGAAGGGATTGTCTGATTAGAACATGGCGTAACAGTCAGTCATACAGGTATACTAAACAACATGACCACACACTCACATACCGGCAAGTTTTTCTCTCAAAACTTTGTCATATTCCTCTGTTATTTGTGTTTCCCTTTCTTTTAACATCCTTTCACAGATAAGAGTGACTTGTTTCAGGGTGAAAAGGGGTTGCTCTTTTCGTGGCGGTGAAGAACCAGGGGAATATGAAGAGAAGGCGCTCATTTCTGGAGAACTTGGACAGGGTACTCTAAGGTGTCTCCGCCGCTGCAGGCGTCTCCATTCCTGATGAATGCTGGCTGTAACTTGATCTAAAAAGGTTCATACATAGTTCACATTACACAATTTTTCAAGGAACAAAAACAGAAGACCTAAACCTAATGACCAGTCAAACACATTTGTAAATTGAGGAAAACATTAACAGGACTGTTAATTATAGCAAACAAGGTACCAATGTCAAAATCTGTTGTCTGGGACATGTTTTGTATCGTATTTTGTCATGAATCCTTGAATTTAGAGGATTTTGTGGTGTTACTGGTCCACTTGACATGTAGAACCAAACCAGAAATGCGTGTCTGCCAGTTTATTTTTATACAGAATGGCTTGGCCTATTATTTTAGGTTCTGCTTTACTCATAAAAAAAAATAGCAACTTTTCAACCTGTGTGTGGCTTACGCTCACACTGTTTCCCTTCTGTCCTTCTTATGTTTGTGCTTAGCAAAATTCAAACAGATGAAGAAATGAAATTTTTATAGTCTTTCACACAGCAGCAGGAATTTTATAGCTTTACCAACAACAAATATCATCAACGTTAATGTTTGCTTTGACTTGGTGACAAGAAAAAAACTAAAAGAATAATGCATTCAAGAGACTTCTACATCCCAATTTGCATGCCAATATCTACACAAGTAAAACATTGCAGAAAACAGCCTTTTTAGCGACATAAAAGCACATGTTATCTATTGTTTGGTATAGAAGCATTCCATACAAAAGTTCTCAAAAAGGAACGTTTCCTGAAGAAACAAAGCTGGAAAATTATCTTTTGAGAGAATAACATCGTCACTGTAAAGAATCTTTTCATACGAAAGTACGGTGTTTGAGAAATAAGAAGTGGTGACCATATATTAGGAAATTAAAAATGAGCTGCCTTATTTCTCTAAGAGGAAATTTCGACCTATAACATAACACCATGTGTGTTAAAAACGCGTAGATGAAATTTAAGCAAATGTGAAATACAGTATTGCATTCAAACAAGCCCCTCGAGGAAATTTGCAACCTCAATATGCATAAGGAAACCTAAGTGTATATAACGAAGAGAAAGTTCTTTTTTAAAAAGTCTCGATTGACTCAAAGAACAGAACTATTTCTCAGGTGACTTTAGTAGCCACTCAATACTGTCCGGTAAGTAAAAAAAATTCACAATAAATTGGCTCACTTGAATAGATGAATAGAGCAAACGACGCAATACGCCGATGTACGTCCAAGACAAATGTTAAGTTTTTAAAAACGTTGAAAGAGAGTTTAACTTAAACACATCTCTTTGAACCAATACTCGCTACTTTACATCAACAGCCATGACAAAACAAAATAAGCTGGTAAGGAATACTAACCGTCGAGAGCTACACAAAACTAACAAGATACAGCTAAAGTCAAGGTACATCTACATAAGTAAGAGGTTAAATAAAATTTTCAATACCATGGGACAATCTTGGAGCAACACCCAAAAAATGCGACTCTGTTGTTACGGCAGGAGATGGTGTTGATGGTTTGAGCGGAACGCATCTTCTTCTTTTTGGCGAAGGTTGGTGTTGAGCAGTAAGCAAAGGATCAAATTCGTAAGACCTCTTGAGGGTGGCGCAAGCCATAGCGTTTCTCCTCGATACTTGATAGAAATTTCAAAAATAAACTCAGCAGATGATAGACGGACTATCTGACACTCGACAGAACTACGAAAGCTTCTTGTTATGACTCGATTCCTTAGGATGACTCGGATTTATAGCTTAAATCTTCTCAAAGGAACCCGTAATAACCTAAAGATGGCGGCGATAGCAACTAATTTTGGCTATGTTTTTGAATCGGCAATAATCCACCAATCAGGGCGAAGCTATTTCAAGGACCAAACTCGCCTCGTTCCTATTGAACCAAACGACCTAACTCTGGGAGGAGTAGAGGGTAATTTATTGTCACGTCACAATCACAAATCCCAGGAGTCTGTTCTTCCCAACTACCTGAAACAGATTGAAATTGGAACTATCTTCATGAAATCCAAAAAATATGGCCTTGTTCTTGGAATACACGTACTGTTTTATTGTTTGACCGGGAGGTAAAAGTGCCTCCTCCCAGTCACATAGACAGCTGAGTCAAAAAATAATAAAAAAAATTTGTCACTTTTGCGCGTCAATGGAGAAACTATTCTTACTGTTACCTTTAAGTTAAGGTGACGCAAGGACCGTTGTTTGCAGGTGTGACGCAACAATATTACCGTAGCATTAAAATTTAGACAGTTACTGCGAGAGCTTGAAAAATAGCTATAAATGCCATTTCGCAGCAAAATCGATGAGTGGTGCGATAGGCAGAATTAATCTCAAGGCAAAACGATGCTAAATTGAAACAAGTGGGAAAAACAAACCTCACTGAAAACTTAATTATGAAGGTTACCGTGTACGTGAATGTGAAAAGTGAGGAATTCATACCGAGAATTTCATTTTGCAAAAATAAACTTTTCATCATAGAAGCTATAAAAAGAAAATCGAAAAAATAGTGAATAAACACCAGGAAAATTGGCCACATAGCCTTTTTCTATCAGAAGTTATTTTTCCTTCATTATTGACCAAAAACTCAAGCGCCCTTTTTGCAAATTCTATTTTCTTGTCGTGCCAGAAAGTTCTCTATTTGGGGGAAATTACGAGAAAAGAGACGCTGCTCACTCGCGCTGTATCTCGCGGGCGCGGGTATGTTTACTCGCCGCTAGAAACTAGAAATAATGAACTGGCTCGCAGTCTACAATTTTATCGTTTCCCAAACCTCGCTCACAGTTGTTGCTCTCCTTCCGCTGGGAAAGTCTAGTTCGAGGTACAATTCACTGATGAATGAACTGGGAAAACGACCTGAAACTTCATCTATGGGAACTTCGCAAAAGACATCGAATACTCAAAAAACAGTACTGGAACAATGAAACAGTATTGGGTTGGAAAACACAATTATTCAGTTTTGTATGGGATTCTTTCGAAAGGGGCTTTAAAATTCTTCTTAGAAATCCATGCCACCTCTTTTGGGCATAATCTGATACACTCCAATTTGATTCAATGCCTTTATTTGAATGGTAGAATGGAGCTGCAGCCTAAATGCAGCTTGTTCCTTACAAGTGCGCAAACATTTTTTATCACGCATAAAAATAAATAAAAAATAATTTTCCGTTATTCACCCTAGCAGGGCAGTGTTTATAGCACTAACGTTAGTAGGGCCGAGTAAATGCCTGAAACAAATGAATTAAATCCGGGGATACTCCCTTATAAGGGCTTAATGGGGACGTGCTGCCAGCCAGGGTATGTTTTTCCGGATTTTTGTATTAAACAGGGTATCGATTTTATCATTTTTTGTCTTAATCTGGGTATCGATTTTATCAATTTTTGTCTTAAACAGGGTATCTTTTCTTGGACGATAAACAGCCTGCACGTATGTTCTACGAATGTCTTAACCAGGGTATCAAAAATTTTAAACAGGGTAGGAAAATCAGCGACTTTTGTCTTAAACAGGGTCAGGGTATGAGGGGCCGGGCCGCACTTCCCCACCCAAGGATATATCTAGTACCCCCCGCGTTTAAATCAAACGTAATAGGGTTAAGAATCCCAACTGGCCACAGGTAAACTAGTTGGCTATTTACAAGCGTGATCGAGGATTTGAACATCTCATTCAACTGGAAGTATATTTGTGTGCGCGACGTCTTAGTCAGACCCTAAATTCTCGTGTTTTTATCACGACTTAAGGAATAAGCTACGTTTAAGCACAAGTTAGAGCAAAGAGATTGGAATATTTCAGTGGCACTGAACAAACTGTGAGAGGACACACCGTACACCCAGCCCGTTCATTTTTTGCGACCTGAATTTGTCATGCCACGAAGGCTAAGGAAACCTTAAGGAAAAACCGTGGCTCTTGAACCAGAGTACTGTCTAGCCATTTTTTCGACAATCGGATCCTGTAATCGACCATCTAAAGCTACGGTAAAGCGGACAACGAAAAAACATGCAGCTTGATTTGCTACATATGTTGGGCATTTTACCACCCACGTTCAAACCTGTCTAACAACAAATCGGGTCAGTGTTAGAAGTTGCGTGAATACTGACTTCTGATTGGATACAATTACGCGGAAGCCACGCCATACTCGGGATTTACGTCACTTGCTGCAAAACAAGTTTGATAAGAGCCAGTTAGACGAGCAGCATGTACAGATTTTGTTGCAGAAGCAGATTGAACTATTCTCTACTTTCTGCAACAACTTTGCTTTCTAGCAACAACCTGATTTTTTGCAAGACAGGTTTGATCCGTGGGTGGTGAAATGCGCAACATCACTATGTATCTCGTTTTTATTTGTAGCACTGTTACGTTGCAAAACAGGTTGCACGTTTTAGTTTCCCGTTTTACCGTACCTTAACCAAAGGATGACCGAAATTGGTCATCGCGCGGAAAAAGTCATGTAATCCAGGATAATTCGTTGCTTCAGAGCACTCCCAACCCCAGTTTTGCGAACAGTTTTTGAATTGCAAGGAGGGTAAGCGAAGTTTTCTTTCTTGAACTGAAAGATTTCTTGCCCGCTTGGATCATTACACACCTTTCAAGCCAATTCCATCTTGATGGAAAATTAAACAACGTAACGTTATGCGCTGCAAGTTGAGCGGAAATGCCGCTTGCATTACTTAGTCCAAATACACCTCTGTTGACATTTTTCTGACGCTACGTTTCACTTTCAGAGGAGGTTTAAAATGGCAATGGAGCGGGGTCTGCGTTACGGCCATTCCAGACAAACGAGCCTTTGGTATCAAAAATAATTACAGATGCTTTAGAGGGGATTTCAAGTGTGCAGTAAATTCAAAACCCCGCTTTCTATAGAGCGCTTTTACTCAAACGTGCATCTGATGGCGCATTCGATTTTTGTGCAATAAGATTGGTCGAAATCAGGGCGTTTTCACATGACTACACGGCGGCTTTTTTGGTGTTCCAAAACAATGGAACGGCGGCCTTGTTTTTTTTTTTTTTTTTTTTTTTTTTTTTTTTTTTTTTTTTTTTTTTTTTTT